TCCGCCGCTTTGATTTCCCTAACGTAAATTTGGTGCCACATTCAGCTGGATGGGCTCAAGACGTCCTACAATCTCGTGACGGGATCAAATTCCGAGACTTTCTGAGTAGCAGGCACGTTTTCTATTGTTGCACATTCGTTTAAAAAGCCGTTTCTAGCATGGTCACGTCGCCTGAAGTGAGTATGTACGAGCTAGAGATCCAACACAACATCGAGAGTCAGGTGTTGAAGTTCTTAAAGGTACCATGGTGCCAGAACAGCTGACTGAGAGTTCAGAGTTCAAACAAATTATTGTCATGTGCTATGATCGTTGCACGTGACCTCTCACTGCGCTGTATAATTTATGAGAACAGGGCATTACCCTCCCTCAACCACCACCCCCCTCCCAATTACCTCATTTTTAATTACCTCCGAAAATCCCGAAATTTAGTCATTAAGAATGGTCCATGAGATGTAGAATGAAGAATGTTGACGAAAGAGCTCCCAATAATGGTCTCGTTATTAAAGCTCAAACATGAAGTCTTCGTCAACAAATATGGATCCAACAAACTAACATGGTAGATGAGCAATTACCACAACCGGATATAACTACTTATTAAACACATATTATTTTTAAATTAGGGGTTCAGGTGGTTTGGCCAGCCCAGCACACGTATAGAACTCCAGCAAGACGAGACTTGTAATCAGGAGACAGCAGCCCAACAAGACGAGACTTGTAATCTGGAGACAGCAGCCCAGCAAGACGAGACTTGTAATCTGGAGACAGCAGCCCAACAAGACGAGACTTGTAATCTGGAGACAGCAGCCCAGCAAGACGAGACTTGTTTTGTGTACTGTGTAATGATCGTTTTACATTTAATTGTGACGGTGTGTCCAGGGATTGAGCACATGAGTGATAGTAACATGACTCGGAATAGGGAAATTATATATCGTGATTAATCTACTACATGTCTCTTATATGTTAGCAAGTCTGAACAGCTGCTTAAAAAGTTACTTAAAGTAAATTTGAAATGTTCTTGTCTTAGCATCACGCCCAGATGAAAACAAATACTTAGTTTATCATCACGAGAGCTTCCCCTTTTGTAACACTTCTCTACGGCCATGTATGAAGAGTTCACTGATTGCTAACTTAATTTTAGCGCACTAAAAGACTTTGGCAACCGCACCACCAGCTAAATCAAATTATTCTGACCCAACAAATCTTGACGTGAGCTCCCTGTTTCAGTCAAATATGATAGTCACTCAAGAGGTCCCTATGGTAGGATGTCGACAAAAGAGCTCTTTAAAATTGTCTCGTCATTAATGCTCATCCATTCTTTGTCAACAAACCTGATTCATTCGTGCAAACTAATATTCTAGAAGAACAATCCCTCCCCTTTCAACATCCGTTTGTTCCCCACTCCCCTCTCACCACCCGTTTATCCCCCCCCACCCACACCACCCGTTTATCCCCCCCACCCTCACCACCCGTTTATCCCCCCACACCCTCACCACCCGTTTATCCCCCCACCCACACCACCCGTTTATCCCCCCACCCTCACCACCCGTTTATCCCCCCACCCTCACCACCCGTTTATCCCCCACCCACACCACCCGTTTATCCCCACCCCCACCCTCACCACCCGTTTATCCCCCCCCCCACCCACACCAACCGTTTATCCCCCCCCCACCCTCACCACCCGTTTATCCCCCCACCCTCACCACCCGTTTATCCCCCCCCCCCCACCCTCACCACCCGTTTATCCCCCCACCCTCACCACCCGTTTATCCCCCCCCCCCCACCCTCACCACCCGTTATCCCCCCCCCACCCTCACCACCCGTTTATCCCCCCACACCCTCACCACCCGTTTATCCCCCCCTACCCTTACCACCCGTTTATCCCCCCCCCCCCCCCCCCCCACCCTCACCACCCTGAGCTGTAGAATAAATATATTCTCATAGAATATATCCAAACCCTAGACTGACATATTCTCATAGAATATATCTTAACCCTAGACTGACTCTAAACTTATCCATAACCATAACATTAGCTAACGATTAGCGTTAAGTGTAATATTAGAGTAATGGTACAATGTATTGTAGACAGGGGAACGTTTATGTCCTACTCAAGTTTTTTTTTAGGCGGGTTGTTATTTACGTAAGTTTACGAGACAGTGGTTGGTTGATCCTTTGGAATGTACGGAAGACGGAATGTCAGGGGACTGAGTAGATTATGTCTCCCCCCCCCCCTCCTACCCACATACCAAACCACAGTTGGTGAGTACAAACATGTTGGGCTGTTTAATTCCATTCTTGGAATCACATCATTGTCGAGAAAGTCGCTTGTTGTATCTTGATTAGGAACAATTACAAAACATTTTGGTTAACTCACCAGGTTATGTAACAGAATAATGGAATAATAATAAGCTAAATCAACAAAATTAAAGAACTGTTTTACAATAATGTGTTTGTGTTATTGCCTCGACACAATGTAGAACTAACGCAGTAGACCCAGTGTTGTGACATGTTATGGGTGGTTTAATATTGCTTGTAACTTAAGCTGACGGTAGAGTGGTCTTTATTTATTGTAACGATCTATGTAGCCTACTGGTAGGATGACAGGATAAATACAGATCTACTGACATGTACGTCACAAAAACAAGTCATTGAAATTAAATGATGAATTTTACTCATTACCTAGAGATACTTTATCGGAATCGTTTTGTTTTAATTATTAATTATAAATATTATGTATTATTTTTCTTTCCAAAAACACTTCTATTTTCAAGGTCTCCGCATTATACGTTTGTGGTCAAAGGGAACTAACAATGAAAACAATTTGCAAATACTTTCTGACGCAGTTGTCTCCTTTGAGTAGTCTGCAAATTTTTAAATTAATTTTTGTTATTAATATTTTAAATTTTATAATCCGACGAGCTTTCAAAAATCTACATTTCTAGCCGTGTGACCTTTAAACTTAATTGAAAAATGGCGAAATCAGGTCGAAATAAACCACAGCTTATGATCTTTCAATCAGAATGGCAAGACTTAGCTAGGCATTGTATACAATGCTAAACACGTCAACCAAGGTGTTTGGTATCATTATTTCTAGCTAACGTAACTGTCATCTGTTTAAGTCTAGGTCTATTGTCTGTTTACTCGATGCATGACAAAATTGATTATCAGCATATTTTAATATACTGATACTACAGTAACTATATTTTTTAATAAAGTAACTAAGATGCGCCATTTCTTTGCAAAGTCTCAGCTACAAACTTGACTGCCGACATTATCAGCTACAAACTTGACTGCCGACATTAAGTCTCAGCTACAAACTTGACTGCCGACATTAAGTCTCAGCTACAAACTTGACTGCCGACATTAAGTCTCAGCTACAAACTTGACTGCCGACATTATGTCTCAGCTACAAACTTGACTGCCGACATTAAGTCTCAGCTACAAACTTGACTGCCGACATTAAGTCTCAGCTACAAACTTGACTGCCGACATTAAGTCTCAGCTACAAACCTGACTGTCGACATTACGTCTCAGCTACAAACTTGACTGCCGACATTAAGTCTCAGCTACAAACTTGACTGCCGACATTTAGTCTCAGCTTCAAACTTGACTGCCGACATTAAGTCTCAGCTACAAACTTGACTGCCGACATTAAGTCTCAGCTACAAACTTGACTGCTGACATTAAGTACAAACTTGACTGCCGATATTAGATCTCAGCTACAAACTTGACTGCCGACATTAAGTCTCTGACTGCCGACATTAAGTCTCAGCTACAAACTTGACTGCCGACATTAAGTCTCTGACTGCCGACATAAGGTCTCAGCTATAAACTTGACTGAAAACATTAAATCAAGTCTCAGCTACAAACTTGACTGCCGATATTAAGTCTCAGCTACAAACTTGACTGCCGACATTAAGTCTCAGCTACAAACTTGACTGCCGACATTAAGTCTCAGCTACAAACTTGACTGCCGACATTAAGTCTCAGCTACAAACTTGACTGCCGACATTAGGTCTCAACTACAAACTTGACTGCCGACATTAAGTCTCAGCTACAAACTTGACTGCCGACATTAAGTCTCAGCTACAAACTTGACTGCCGACATTAAGTCTCAGCTACAAACCTGACTGTCGACATTACGTCTCAGCTACAAACTTGACTGCCGACATTAAGTCTCAGCTACAAACTTGACTGCCGACATTTAGTCTCAGCTTCAAACTTGACTGCCGACATTAAGTCTCAGCTACAAACTTGACTGCCGACATTAAGTCTCAGCTACAAACTTGACTGCTGACATTAAGTACAAACTTGACTGCCGATATTAGATCTCAGCTACAAACTTGACTGCCGACATTAAGTCTCTGACTGCCGACATTAAGTCTCAGCTACAAACTTGACTGCCGACATTAAGTCTCTGACTGCCGACATAAGGTCTCAGCTATAAACTTGACTGAAAACATTAAATCAAGTCTCAGCTACAAACTTGACTGCCGATATTAAGTCTCAGCTACAAACTTGACTGAAAACATTAAGTCTAGTCTCAGCTACAAACTTGACTGCCGACATTAAGTCTCAGCTACAAACTTGACTGAAAACATTTAGTCTTAGCTACAAACTTGACTGCCGACATTTAGTCTCAGATACAAACTTGACTGCCGACATTAAGTCTCAGCTACAAACTTGACTGCCGACATTAAGTCTCAGCTACAAACTTGACTGCCGACATTAAGTCTCAGCTACAAACTTGACTGCCGACATTAAGTCTCAGCTACAAACTTGACTGCCGACATTAGGTCTCAACTACAAACTTGACTGCCGACATTAAGTCTCAGCTACAAACTTGACTGCCGACATTAAGTCTCAGCTACAAACTTGACTGTCGAAATTAAGTCTCAGCTACAAACTTGACTGCCGACATTTCTCTTCACCACCATCGTGTTTATCATCAACACAAAACATTCAGATTATCAACGATAACAAAATGAATGAAAGAAACTTTGAAATCTTCTAAAACTTTATTGACAATAATACAGTTTGTAAACAAATACAAACAGTTTGTAAACAAATACAAACAGTTTGTAAACAAATACAAACAGTTTGTAAACAAATACAAACAGTTTGTAAACAAATACAAACAGTTTGTAAACAAACACAAACACGAATTAAAGTATAAATAAAGACAATGATGGAGATGACAAATCTAATGTGGAGGTTTAAACAAAACAAAGATACAAGTGTAGTCTATAAATATTTCATTTCTCAACAATAAACATTTGTTTATAATTTTGTTTATGTGTCTAACAACTCTAAACAAATGACTGAAAGAAACCAAACAATTTATTTCTTGTCTTCACCAGTATACAAAGTTGCTGATGAAGACATTCAAGTCTTGACACACACAAGTTTAATGAATGGAGCCGCCATTTTGTTTGTTTACATGAGACAAGGGAAGAGAACCAACAGTTACAGATAAAACCACCCATCCTCCCCACTATAATTTCCTTCAGAGTTTGATCCACTGTGGGGACGTGACCAGCACCTGCCATATCCCGTCATGTAGACATGTGCTCCACTGGAGCCAGGACATGTACATGTTGTGTACGTGTACTTGGTGTAACAACCTTCCCTCTCATGTTCATGTGTCCATTCTCCTACAGAGACCTGTTTAGGACAGCCATGAGGATGTGACACTATAACGGTCAACTTGTCCACATCAACAAATCTCCTGTATTTGTCCTTTACTTTCTGACATAGATCATTAAAGTGCCGACACATCTTGTCCAGTTCATCAACCAACTCTAAGTCACATGACACACATGTAAACTTACACATGTCTCCCTCAATGTGTGCCTCCTCCACCCCCCAGCCATCAAGACTGACCCCAGGACTTTTATTGTCATCATAACCTACAACACACCTGGTCTGTCTCGCCTCACTCTCATCAAAGACCACGTGTGTGGCTGTCAACACACGAACCTCCCCCCACACTTTGCTGGGTGTGTCCGAGTGTTGACACTTGCCACATGGACAAGTGCCCTTGTTGTCACTGTCTGTGTACTTGACCACATGACACACCCTCCCCGTCCCTGTCCTCAACACGTCACTTCCTCTGGTGTTATAAAATGGATACTGACCACTGAAGCATGGAACAGACTTTGGTCTCTCTAGACTGGTGTACTTGACCTTTATCAGGACCGTTAGGGCAGACAAAGTTTTGATTACCTCCAACATGATGACGTCACGGTAACGTGAGGGGAGATGATCCAATTTAAAATCATTAACAGGATTAAATTTTTTATGACCTGGATTCTTCTTACAGCCCGTATAGTGCTTGTGTAAGTCAGCTTCACCTCCATAGCAGATCTCGGCTTCATGATCTCCTGGAGAGATACAAGGGGAGGGAATCCATATTTTTTAAAAATACAAATTTAAATGTATTTAAAATAAGTAACTTGTCAAACAAATAGTGCAACTATAAAAATTAACAAAAACTTTTTATTTCTAATTGTTTTATTGGCTGGTGAAGATGAAATAGAGTTTACATGTATCATGTGGTAAATATTGCCTGCCAAACGACCATTTAACTAACCATCAGTTGTCAACAGGATAAGGTAATATATTAGCTGTAAAAGAACTCATGCACTTCATATATGTAAATAATGTAATCATGTGCCCAGCAGATCTGTATAAATGTAACTTCTTACATGTTATGTACATATTTCACACAATCTGGAACTCACCTGGTATAAAACCACCTTCAGTTTTTGTTTCTTCAAACTGTGTTGTCTCATCTGTTCTATGTGTTAGACCTAAAACATTTGAACATCAAGGTTTTAATTAGATTAAATAAAAACCTAAACATTTCTAAACATTTACAGCAAATACAAAACATGTAGCCTAGAAACATTTATTTTACCTTTCTCTGCCAACTGATTTTCTCTTTTCTTCCCACCTGTATTTCCCATCTCTGACAACTTTACCTGCAATAAAAAAATTATTGTAAAATAAATTTACATTATATGATTTTGTTACAAAACTTATCATCATTTAAGTCAACTTTAAGGATGAGTTCCAGATTCTTTTATAGTGATGTGAAGACGTTTGGTGAGGTGCTGACTAACATAATCTGGTCATAGAACTAAACTGGAGTTTAATCAGCTCAACTCAACTTCACTTTATCCACCATTTCATTGTATCACAGTAAATTACATTACATATTTTTTTATACTTTAAATAAGGGTTACATCAGATGTTAGCCTATATAAAAAATTTTTTATATTGTTCGATATTAAATTTGAATAGTTTTTAACTGATAAAATATTAAAAAGTAGCTTAGCAAATTCGCAAACTATATACTTTTCATAAAAGCTTAATTGTTTTTAAGGCAAGTAGTCTCATTTAATTAGTTATCAGCTAGATAAACTCAAATAAGCACACAGAAAAAGAAGAAGCTAGTTGCAATAAAATTATTGTCATACCAAAATCAAGTACATAATCTTTAAATTTACATTGCTTTTCATTTACTTCTATAAATTATGTTTTAGTTTATGTCAACTTTAAAATGTGGCTTTTAAATGTCTCACAATTTAAATGATTTTTATCTGCCCTCTATGCATTGTCTTTCATGTTAGATTCCAACTCAACCCACCCCATTAAAATGATATCACACCTCAACCTTGTAATTTTTTATTCTTAAGAGATTTCATTCTAAAATAAACTGAGCCTATTGAAGCTTAGAATATTTCTTCTATTTACAATTTACAAAAAAGTATTTTAAATGTTAAATAATGGCAAAATTTAGTTTCAAACACACCTAATTTTTATTCTGAAATTTAAACTAAGAAGAGACACAAAATCATGGACGTTTTCTAAGACGTAATCAAAGTTGACTTAAAAAATATGTAGTCTATTAAAATGCTAGATCAAATTCTATTGAATGAATAAAAAAATGCAGGCTTCAGCACAAACCTCTAGTAGCTTTTTAATTGGATCCTTTGAATAACAAAATTATGTCTTTATAGCCCTATTGATGGGTGATTCCACTGTCCATATCTTTCTCATTCACACACCTTGATAAAAAGACATGCATACTATTATATACCTTCATATCTTTAGAATATAGGATTACATCAATTAACAAACTAGATTAACGTTGTATGCTCTAGTCTAAACTCTAAATAATTTCTCTGACTTGGTTTCTTAATTTTATAAAATTTAGCTGGTGTGGTGATGTAGTGAGTATTCAGAGGCGTACGCAGGGGGGGGAGCACGGGGAGCGGCCGCTCCCCCTCTGGCCATTTTCAGCAAAGTGGCGCCTTTTTGGAAACTTTTTAAACTCAAAGTTTTAAACAATGATATTTGTTAAAAAAATATTTTTGGTCGGCACATCTATGTAAATCACAAGATTACTTTTCATGCAGCAATTAAGCATTATTGTACTAGTCTAGTACTGTCTACGTTTACAACACGTATTAACAGCTGCATCAGTTTGCCATTCTAAAAATAACCATTATGATGCAATGCAATGTTTAAAAAACATCTACGGGTGGTACCACTTGACAAGAGGGGTGTTAAGTTTAAATCCACGGTATAATGTATTTGTTTACGAATAATTGAATTCGAAAATGTTATACATAAAACTTCACACATAATTACTATATATATACAGTTTGAATCGTGTGATTGATTTATAAAAAATTACAATACAGAAACAAATACAACTACTGTGACACCTCTATTTAAATTTACTTATGGGCAAACTGCGTAGCGGTGGGGAAAGTTCAACAACGTCATCACGATGAAGTAGTAGTATTCTTACAGTTTGGGCGATACTGATTACGATTACAAATTATATTAAACAGTATCAAATTTAAATTAACTATTATTTTAGTTTACTAGATCTAGATCTATATTAAATTTGAATAAGGCTATATTTTGTATTTAAAAAACAGCTCAACTTAAACTAACCCTGATAGCACTGTTAATTATCCGCTCAGCTGATGTATCGTTTGAACTTGTTTCCAATAGTTAGTAATTATCAAAAAGTAATCGCACCATTAAATTATTTGGTGTATCATACTAACTATTTTGCGAATAAGACAACAGTTGCGCTTAGAATTCGTTAGTTAAAAGGTTATTAAATGGAAAGGAAACCAGAAAAGAATAAATATTCGGGGTGGGAGAGGAAGAGATTGAAAGAAATTTCAGATCGCCAACAATCGTCATCCAAATTTGTCAAACTGGATACATATTTTTCAAGCTGTATGCCTTTAACTGCTACAACAATACAACCAGAGGTTGATGTGTCTCAAGATACCCAAGTACAAAATGTACAAGCAACAACATCATCTAATATGCAGAATCAAGTCGTCGAGACTCAAGACAATAAGGTAATGTCTATAGACATTTTAGAAGACACCCATTTAGAAGAGGATATTGACAGTACAATGCCAGTCAAACTTAAAGCTATAATCGATATAAATCTGGAATATCCTACAGATCCTTTTTTGTTTTGTGAAACACCCGTAACACCGGATCTGGTACGTGCATTACTTGAGTTTGGTCCTTGTCAACCAGGCCTCAAAGATACTTATAAAGATTTTCCCAAAAATGTAACTGGTCGGCACTTTAGTGCCAGTTGGTACAAGAAAAAAAACCACACAACATGTGGTCGTGAAATAATACGACACTGGCTAGTATATTCGCCCAAGGCAAATTATATGATTTGTTTTGCTTGTTGGCTTTTTAAGCACAAGTCAGACACTTGGGGTGATCCAAAATTGGGTTGTAAGAACTTTGCAAAAGGTCCCGACAAAATTAACAAACATGAAAACTCTGAAAGTCACAAGATTGCAGAGAGAGAACTTTTAATTACAAAGTTCCGACTTTACAAAGACAGAACCATAATATGTGACATTTTAACATCAGAAAAGAAGGAAATAGAAAAAAACAGAATAATACTGGAAAGTATTATAGATGCAGTTCTCTATTTGGGAAAACAGGGATTGGCGTTTAGGGGCCATCGTGAATCCCAAGGTTTAGGAGAAGCTACATTAAATGAAGGCAACTTTTTGGAACTTATTAAACTCATTTCTAAGAAAGATGATTTGCTAAAACAACATTTACTTTTCGGTGACAGAAATGCAACATACTTAAGTCCGGGTATGCAAAACGACTTAATTAAGTCTATATCAGCCCAAATTTTAAAGAAGATAGTAGGTGAAATTAAGATAGCTAGGTATTTCGCTGTAATTGTAGATTCGACTATCGACATTAGTAGAATGGATCAATTTTCTTTGTCAATCAGATATGTTACTGAACATGGAGACGCCATCGAAAGATTTATCCAATTTTGTGAGCTTCCTGAAGCTAGTGCAGAGGTTTTTTTTAAAACGCTTCTTACAGCAGTCACAGACTTAGGGCTGTCAATGACCATGTGCTATGGTCAGTCCTACGATGGAGCAAACACCATGTCTGGTGAAATATCGGGCGTACAAAAACGAGTTAGAGAAATAGCTCCACATGCACTCTTCACACACTGCTGTGCTCATAATTTAAATTTAATTCTCATAGATGCTGTTTCATCTAATATTCAAACACAGCTGTTTTTTGGAGTTCTGGAAAGCATATATACATTTTTTACCGGAAGTCTACCTCGTCTTTCTATATTGCAAGAGGAGCAAGGCAACAACATAGAAGCATTTTCATTAACACTGAAACGACTTAGTGATACAAGATGGGCTTCTAGAAAGACAGCAGTAGATTCTATATTGCAGAATTTACCAGCACTTGTTCTTGCATTGCAAAGAATAGTTGACGGTGAAGTTAAAAACTCTACTTCTAAACAGATTGCCGAAGGAAAGGGAATTCTTGTTACAATAGAGACCTTTGAGTTTTTAGTTGTTTTAATGTTTTGGAAAAGAATTCTGCATAAGGCTTTTAACGTATCCATTTATTTACAGAAGAGTAGCATTGATATGTTAACAGCCTTTCGATTAATTCAGATTTTTGAAAATGAGATGAGTAGCTAGAGAAATGAATTTAATCAGAATTTGAGCAGATTGAGAACGAAGCCACTGAGCTCGCTGAGAAATGTGATATCCGTACGGAGTATAAGCAACACAGGTTATACAAACGGAAAATATTCCATGACGAACGAGCAGAGGATACTCAGATATCTGACTCTAGGAAAAAATTCATTGTTCAAACTTATTTAGTGTCACTTGACTCTGTCATAACTAGTACAAACACAAGGTTTCAAAATTTTAAAGATGTGTCTTCCAAGTTTTGTTGCTTAGACCCAAAACATTTAGCATTAGATGACAGTTTAATACAGTTGGAGCAATTAGCTGTGACGTACTCGGATGTTGTTGACAGTGTAACTGAAATAGTGCAGGAATTCGTATCATTTAGAACATTTTACCAAGAGGTTTTTAGTGTAAGCAGTGTAAACAAGGGAGTTTCAACTGAAAAAGAACCTCTAGAAATAGCGGTGACAGTAAACAGCATTCTGAAATTCATGATAGCTAATGACTTGTGTTCCATGTATCCAAACCTGGCCACTTTGTATCGTATATTTCTGACTTTACCAATAAGCAGTGCCGGAGTAGAAAGATCCTTCAGCCGTCTTAAACTCCTGAAAACATACATCCGTTCTACTATGAACGAAGACAGGTTGTCCAGCTTAGCCCTGATTACGATTGAACGACAATTAGCTTCTGATGTTGATTTAAAAGACGTAATTGATCCTTTTGCTAAAATGAAACCTCGACGAAAAAGGATGTTGTAGTTCTAACAGAAGTCCTAGAGTACAGGATAAAACAAAATTGCTATCAAATATAGGCCTAACTAAATTATTGTTGTTTCTTTTTTAATTTAAAACGAATACCGTTTTGTACAACTGATTAAGCAATAAAAATATCTTCATTTACGTGTCTTATGCATTCCAATTTTTAGAAGACATAATGCTATTATAAAGTGAATTGTACGAGGACGACAAAAACAGACTACGCCCTATATTATATATATATATATATATATATATATATATATATATATATATATATATATATATATATGTATATATATATATATATATATATATATATATATATATATATATATATATATATATATATATATATATATACGTATATAGAACATATTACAAATTCGGCGCCTTTTTTGCTATTTTTCGCTCCCCCTACACTGAAAACCTGGATACGCCTCTGTGAGTATTATATTATTTCCTTTTCTATTCAGATCATATCTCTTTATCTAGATTCTAGATCTAGATCTAGATCTTGTGATCTAAGCTAGACTGTTGTGATTAGATCTAGATTATTCAGATATAGATCTAGATCTATAATTTTAATTAATTTAGAATTTAGGGCTAGATCTAGATTTAGATATTAATTCTAGACGACAAGATTCTAGATCTAGAATTTGCTGTAGACTGTCACACCACTAGATTCTAGATCTACCGTGTAGTGTGTAGAGTAGTTTAGGTTAGGTACTAGATTCTAGATCTACTAGGTAGATCTAGGTAGACTGTACTGAGTGTACTCAAAGTGTAGATCTACTGACTGTCTGAACGAACTGTACGACTGTCTAGATTTTTCTAGTTGTTACTCAAAACTCAAAAATTGTTACGACTACGATCCTAAATAAATAGTTAATAAGGGCTAGTCTTAGCCTAGATCTAGAGTAAAGGAACAAAAAATTATGTCTAGATCTAGATCTGGATCTTTGAAAGTTTGTCACATACACATTTTAAATTAAAATACTCAAATTTTTTGAAAACCTAATATTAATATTGCCTGTTGTCGTCTGCTGAGATCTGAGGTCTGAAGCAAGCAAACGTATTCGATACTGTAAATATCGTGTTATTAAATTGTCGATCAAAATAGCCAAATTGTTGTTTCTCGTATTTTGTATTGTAGATATCATTTTTTTTTGTAAAATGTAGATCTAGTAAACGTAGTCTTTATTTCATGATAACGTAAGAATTTTTTTTTATTTTTTAAAAAAGTTCTTGAAATAACTATCTCAATGCAGTTAGGCCTAGGCCTAGACTGAGATTTTATGACATCAATACTAGCCAGATACACGTCAGTATTTTAAGAGTAAATCAAGGATCTTGATCTAGATCTAGTCTAAAACGTGTTGTTATCTTAAAATAATAGATCTCTAGATCTATGTCAAAAATAATTTTAAATAGGGTCTAAGTCTTTAAATTACGTCTCAAATAGATTTTTAAAATCTACGACGGATGACAATACAATAATTTAGATCTACTATTAACAACTGTCGTATCTTCCAATAATTTTTCTCCACGAATATGTAATGAAATTAATGATTGCAATAATAAATTGTTTTGCTTTGAGTTAAACTGACGTAGGCTTACTCACAAAGTTTTTATCATCTCATATGGCGACTGGTTAATGCGATCGTTCACACAAGAAGTCACACTCATAGTGGGGTGGGGGGGGGGGGGGGGTTGGACTCTTGTGCCGATGTAGGGGATAACCGTAACGGTTAAAAAAAACTAAACGCAACACTTTTGCAATTTAAAAAAAAAAATTCAATATTTGAAGTTAATGTTTGATGATTGTAACAACATTAGATCGATAGCTATTCCTTTTCACGGGAATGTCAACACGACAGATGACGAAGAGTTTCAAAAATTACAATTCTATGGGGGCGAGATGGGGGCGGTGTGGAGGACATGGACTCATACAAAAAATAAAATTCATCAAAATAAGTCAAATTTAATCTAGTTCCATAATGTTATTCAGATTTTATCGTATACGTTAAACGTTTTCTTAAAGTGGTAAAGCTGAACCAAAAAAAAACAACAACAGATTAACTTACTCTTACAACACCGTTTACCAGGTCTTTCTTGAACTAGTTTCAAGTCTGCTCTTGGGGATGATTGTGCGTTCGGGAAATCCTGACGATATTATTACATATTTTACTATTTTTAGACTTTGGGGATTTTCCTCCATAATTTATTTTTAATCATTGAATGGAAATTCAAGAATTACTTTTTCAATGGTTTAGCATAAGTTTTAGTTTTTCGGATTTTCTTTTTTTTTTTACATGGGTGTATTTTAAGTTGTTTTAGTTCGATCTGGCCTGGTAACAACCACACACGTCCTGTGGTAACACACACACACGTCCTGTGGTAACAACCACACACATCCTCCTGTGGAAACAACCACATACGTCCTGTGGTAACAACCACAAATGTCCTGTGGTAACAACCACAGGTGTCACAGCCCAGGTCAGAGTGGAACACACAGATACTTCAATAAAGAAAAAATATTTCAAACATTTAAACACAGGAAATATTTTCCATCATGTTTATTATAACAGTATACAACCAAAACCAAGACAAATCACATGAATTATGATAACTAAAATACATCCATGATTTATTGAGCATGATGCTAGAAATTAGAAAACAAAATATATATACAAATTAAAGATCAACATTACATCAGTTATAATCAAGTTCATGGTAAACTGACACAATCAGGCATAGGACCTGTAGGACAAACATAATGTGTAGGACATACACTATATCATATGGTAGCGCAGACACAGGAAACACAATAAATAAGTGCTGTAGCACACCTTTATTTATTAACATGAAGATAAAAACTTAGGCCATAAGCTACATATCACAAAAACTATTCACATTTTCTTATGGCTGGTTGATTGAGTGTTGACTAGTAAAAGTTTTATACTGCTGGACTACAATATCACTAACAATGAGTTATATAGGTTAAACTGACATAGTCTCCAGTGGTCAGACATCTTGTGTCAGATATTGTCAAACAAATGAATCTAGGACTCTCAATTTCCTATACCTGTACAACACCAGAGAATCCTCTTCTATTAACCAAAATAAAAGAATGCAAAATTAATCAAATGAATTTTGTTGTTCTTAGGTCACTCTATGTAACGTTTGCTAGCTGCAGTAAACAATCTTACATAAACATGTGTTTGATGGCTGCTCAATAATGACAGAAAAACAGAATTTAATAAAACACGTCATGAAAGGCTACTTCTATAATTATCCTAGTCATTCATACACCATTGATGTCAGTTGTATGGCGTCATTCATACACCATTTGATGTCAGTTGTATGAAGTCATTCACACCACAGATAAAACCAGTCTGTTACAGTTAGAGAAAGTTTCAACTCAAATATTCCATTCACTCAAGATTCACACATTTATAAAATAGTTTCAAAGTTTCTGTGCTCTATTTCTTGCTCGATCGCTGTACTACAAACTGAAAGAACTTGGTTTTTTTTAAAGTATATTTCAACGTTCAAACAACATGAATGAATCAGTTGTTTTAAAGTATATTTTAAGATTCAAACATTATATAAATGAATCAGTTGTTTTAAAGTATATTTCAAGATTCAAACATTATATGAATGAATCAGTTGTTTTAAAGTATATTTCAAGATTCTACCATTATATAAATGAATCAGTTGTTTTTAATTTTTCCACGCTGATACTGTTTATGTTCCAACCATCACAATTGAGTGCATGTTCAAATGTCGAAAACGAGAGAGGCAAACATGACATTAGTAACAAACATTATTTTAAAAAAATGAATTTACTTTGATAAGTGATCTTGGTACCAAATTTAAGATCTTAAATAAAATGTTCTATTTCTATATAATTATTCAAGTTTTGCTGTGGACACTTACATTTGTTTAACCAAAACTGTAGATTCTATTTATAGTATAGTAACTTACTCTTGTGAATATGAAATAAATTTTTAAAAAATAGTGAACATCAACATAAAACATGAATTTTGAAATGTTTTACAGCTGAACTAGCCATACTTTGATATACATTACTTGAATGGTCAAATATCAGACCCAGACATACATCAGACTTTCTGGATCAGACATACATTAGATGACTTTAACATACACAGACATTCATCAGGCTTTATAACATGAAGGAATAAATACACAGAAATTAGACATAATGTTTGAATTAATTACACAGCCTAAATGTTGAGAGTGATGAGACATACATTTATTGAATTAATTACACAGCCTAAATGTTGCGAGTGACTTGATGTTACAAGTTCTGCATCTGCTTCATCAGGTCTTGTATACTCAACTCTGTGACAGGAACAAACTCAGTCACGTCCACCTCCTGTATCAGGTGTCAAGGGGGGAAAACATGGTTAGACGAGCTCATTGGTGTAGAGAAAACATGGTTAGACAAGCTCTTTGGTGGGGAGAAAACATGGTTAGACAAGCTCTTTGGTGTAGAGAAAACATGGTTAGACAAGCTCTTTGGTGTAGAGAAAACATGGTTAGACAAGCCCTTTGGTGGGGAGAAAACATGGTTAGACAAGCTCTTTGGTGTAGAGAAAACATGGTTAGACAAGCCCTTTGGTGTAGAGAAAACATGGTTAGACAAGCTCTTTGGTGTAGAGAAAACATGGTTAGACAAGCTCTTTGGTGGGGAGAAAACATGGTTAGACAAGCTCTTTGGTGTAGAGAAAACATGGTTAGACAAGCTCTTTGGTGTAGAGAAAACATGGTTAGACAAGCCCTTTGGTGTAGAGAAAACATGGTTAGACAAGCTCTTTGGTGGGGAGAAAACATGGTTAGACAAGCTCTTTGGTGTAGAGAAAACATGGTTAGACAAGCCCTTTGGTGTAGAGAAAACATGGTTAGACAAGCCCTTTGGTGGGGAGAAAACATGGTTAGACAAGCTCTTTGGTGTAGAGAAAACATGGTTAGACAAGCTCTTTGGTGGGGAGAAAACATGGTTAGACAAGCTCTTTGGTGTAGAGAAAACATGGTTAGACAAGCCCTTTGGTGTAGAGAAAACATGGTTAGACAAGCCCTTTGGTGGGGAGAAAACATGGTTAGACAAGCTCTTTGGTGTAGAGAAAACATGGTTAGACAAGCCCTTTGGTGGGGAGAAAACATGGTTAGACAAGCTCTTTGGTGGGGAGAAAACATGGTCAGACAAGCTCTTTGGTGTAGAGAAAACATGGTTAGACAAGCTCTTTGGTGTAGAGAAAACATGGTTAGACAAGCTCTTTGGTGTAGAGAAAACATGGTTAGACAAGCTCTTTGGTGTGGCAGGTTAACTCACCTGTGTGGCAGGTTAACTCACCTGTGTGGCAGGTTAACTCACCTGTGTGGCAGGTTAACTCACCTGTGTGGCAGGTTAACTCACCTGTGTGGCAGGCTTAGTGTAAGCCACTGTAACTCCTTCTGTCAGCTCTGGTTTTTTACCTTCAGGTTAACTCACCTGTGTGGCAGGCTTAGTGTAAGCCACTGTAACTCCTTCTGTCAGCTCTGGTTTTTTACCTTCAGCCGCCAGAGCTTCTTCTTCTGTTGTCTCAGCTACAATTTCTATACCTGTAGGTATAGGGGGAATACATGACATTGGGGGAGTACATGACATCACAATCTCTATACCTGCAGGTATAGGGGGAATATATGACATTGGGGGAGTATATGACATCAGGGGAGTATATGACATCAGGGGAGTACATGACATCACAATCTCTATACCTGTAGGTATAGGGGGAATATATGACATTGGGGGAGTATATGACATCACAATCTCTATACCTGTAGGTATAGGGGGAATATATGACATTGGGGGAGTATATGACATCACAATCTCTATACCTGTAGGTATAGGGGGAATACATGACATTGGGGGAGTACATGACATCAGGGGAGTACATGACATCACAATCTCTATACCTGCAGGTATAGGGGGAATATATGACATTGGGGGAGAATATGACATCAGGGGAGTACATGACATCACAATCTCTATACCTGTAGGTACAGTGGGAATATATGACATTGGGGGAGTATATGACATCACAATCTCTATACCTGTAGGTATAGGGGGAATATATGACATTGGGGGAGTATATGACATCACAATCTCTATACCTGTAGGTATAGGGGGAATATATGACATTGGGGGAGTATATGACATCACAATCTCTATACCTGTAGGTATAGGGGGAATATATGACATTGGGGGAGTATATGACATTGGGGGAGTATATGACATCACAATCTCTATACCTGCAGGTATAGGGGGAGTACATGACATTGGGGGAATACATGACATCACAATCTCTATACCTGTAGGTATAGGGGGAATACATGACATTGGGGGAGTACATGAAATAGAGGGAGTATATGACATCAGGGGCGTACATGACATTGGGGGAGTACATGACATCACAATCTCTATACCTGTAGGTACAGGGGAATACATGACATTGGGGGAATATATGACATGATGGGAGTACATGACATAATAATCCATATACCTGCAGGTACAGGGGAATACATGACATTGGGGGAGTATATGACATAATAATATCTATACCGACAGGTATAGGGGAATATATGACATTGGGGGAGTACATGACATCACAATCTCTATACCTGCAGGTACAGGGGAATATATGACATTGGGGGAGTACATGACATCACAATCTCTATACCTGCATGTACAGGGGAATACAAGACATTGGGGGAGTACATGACATCACAATCTCTATACCTGCATGTACATGGGAATACATGACATTGGGGGAGTATGTGACATTGGGGGAGTATATGACATCAGGGGAGTACATGACATCACAATCTCTATACCTGCAGGTACAGGGGAATACATGACATTGGGGGAGTATATGACATTGGGGGAGTATGTGACATTGGGGGAGTATATGACATCAGGGGAGTACATGACATCACAATCTCTATACCTGCATGTACAGGGGAATATATGACTTCAGGGGAATGCATGACATTGGGGGAGTATATGACATCAGGGGAATGCATGACATCAATGGGAGTATATGACATCATAACCTCAATTAACAGGTACAGAGAGAATATGACATTAGATGAATATATGGCATCATGGTAATATATGCAAATGGGGGAATGTAAAGTAAACTAAAGAATCCTCTTTAGACCTAGCGATCTATTGGGCAGATTAGCAGTGTTCATATTATGCTTCTTGAGCTCAGCCTATTTAGGGAAGGTGTGGTCAGCACTTTGCCCAGCTGCTTTTACTTTCCCTAGCAAGAGTCAGGTACCCATATGAGCTGGGTGGACTCAGGGACTTCCTACTGACTAGGACCCAGATTTGAACTCGAGAATTCGGCATCAGGAGGAATACATGTCATCATAGGACAACATATACAACTAGGTAATCTGTGGGATTCCCCCCCCCCCCCCCACATAACAATCCACTTACTCCACTCATTCTCCTCATGTACCACAGCCACCTCCTCCACTTTCTCCTGCTTGTCTGTCTTTGGTCTAGCGGCTTCTCTCTCCTGTAACACACGGTGGAGCGGGGTAATATAGGGTGGAGTGGGATAACACTTGGTGGAGTGGGGTTTTAACAAATAGTGAGGTGGAGTAATAATACAGGGTGGGGTGGGGTAATGCAGGGTGCAAAAATCATTTAATTAAAAATCCATAATATAAACAATTGCTAATTCTACTTCTACTTAAGTTGCTAGTGATGAAATGGGGGAAAAAAGTATAATGATTTTTAAATGTATGGCTGAATAGCTTTCAAATTTTATCTTGAAAATTTCAGCTATTGAAAGGTGTTTATCAGATGCAAAAATCTGATTGGAAAATATAAATTTGAGGTGAAGATGTGACCTCAGGAACTGACATGTGACCCCAGGAACTGACATGTGACCTCAGGAACTGACATGTGACCCCAGGAACTGACATGTGACCTCAGGAACTGACATGTGACCTCAGGAACTGACATGTGACCTCAGGAACTGACATGTGACCCCAGGAACTGACATGTGACCTCAGGAACTGACATGTGACCTCAGGAACTGACATGTGACCTCAGGAACTGACATGTGACCTCAGGAACTGACATGTGACCTCAGGAACTGACATGTGACCTCAGGAACTGACATGTGACCTCAGGAACTGACATGTGACCTCAGGAACTGACATGTGACCTCAGGAACTGACATGTGACCCCAGGAACTGACATATGACCCCAGGAACTGACATGTGACCTCAGGAACTGACATGTGACCCCAGGAACTGACATGTGACTCCAGGAACTGACATGTGACTCCAGGAACTGAGTCTAATGACGTGAGGACAGACCTGGAACAGCTGCTGTTGTCTGCGACAATGTGAGTCATCACACTGGGGGTTGGGCTTCATCCTCATGGTGGGGAAAAAATCCTGGAGGGCGTTGTAGCCCAGGTAGTAGGAGACAGATCCAAACTGGAGCAGGTACCTGTGGGGTAGTAGAGTCAGGTGAGGTGGTGGGATGGTAGAGTCAGGTGAGGTGGTGGGATGGTAGAGACAGGTAAGGTGGTGGGATGGTAGACACAGGTGAGATGGTAGACACAGGTGAGGTGGTGGGATGGTAGAGACAGGTGAGGTGGTGGGATGGTAGACACAGGTGAGGTGGTGGGATGGTAGAGACAGGTGAGGTGGTGGGATGGTAGACACAGGTGAGATGGTAGACAAAGGTGAGGTGGTGGGATGGTAGAGACAGGTGAGGTGGTGGGATGGTAGACACAGGTGAGGTGGTGGGATGGTAGAGACAGGTGAGGTGGTGGGATGGTAGACACAGGTGAGATGGTAGACAAAGGTGAGGTGGTGGGATGGTAGAGACAGGTGAGGTGGTGGGATGGTAGACACAGGTGAGGTGGTAGACACAGGTGAGGTGGTGGGATGGTAGACACAGGTGAGGTGGTGGGATGGTAGACACAGGTGAGGTGGTGGGATGGTAGAGACAGGTGAGGTGGTGGGATGGTAGACACAGGTGAGATGGTAGACACAGGTGAGGTGGTGGGATTGTAGAGACAGGTGAGGTGGTGGGATGGTAGACACAGGTGAGATGGTAGACACAGGTGAGGTGGTGGGATGGTAGACACAGGTGAGGTGGTAGACACAGGTGAGGTGGTGGGATGGTAGACACAGGTGAGGTGGTAGACACAGGTGAGGTGGTGGGATGGTAGAGACAGGTGAGGTGGTGGGTAGTTGTGGTTTAGTTGCTAACTAATTCTTACTTTTATTTTAAACATTGACATTTTATTTGGTTGGCTTTCTGCAGTGTATTTAAAAAGTTTAATGTATTTTTAAAAGTATTTTTAAATAAACATAGTACAATTTTGAAAACAAAAATTCAAAACAACCAGGAAGATAAAGACAGAAAAATGCAAAAATTGAAACTATTTCAATAGATATAAGTTAAAGCAATATTTAAAAATTAAAAAAAAAAAAAAAAAAAAAAAAAATTAAAAAATACTAGATACTGAAACTGTTGTTTTACTTATAGTTACACTTATAATATACAACTAAACAATTGACTTTACTTGAGTACATACTGGACCAGCTAGTGACTTACTTGAGGACATTCTGAACCAGGAACCCAGCAACAACAGCCATGGTGGTGGGGAGACTGGCCGCACACACGCCCTCTTTCTTCAGGGTCCTCTCATCTGTGTGGGTGGCCACGACTAGTGGAGGGGCACACTGGGGTAAAGTGTAACATAGGAGATTAGAAGTTAGATCAGTTGAGTTCTCTGATCTGTGTGGGTGTGTCGTGGCACACTGGGGTAAAGTGTAACAACCTGCGCAAACTTATTGGCTAGGCTAAATGGGGCAGCATGAAAGGTCTAGCACTTTTCTCTCACCCATGTTACCAGCTGTTACAATAGCTGTCTAGGTTTTATTATTAATTGGGAATTGTTAGGATCTTTAGCATCAAGCATAATAAGCTAAGAACTTTTTCCTGTATCTTAAGTTAAAAAATGTGTAGTTTCACTTGTCCATACAGGAAATTAAAATGTAATAAAACTCTTTCAGACCAATATTATTGGACATTAGGTTTTTTAATATACATGGAAACTTGCATACTTTTTCTCTTTCATTTAAAACCTTCACAGGACGTAGCAATAGAAAAAAATATTATTCAACACGGAAGGTGACCTAGTAACAGTGTGAGACAGTATACCAAGCAAGTGGCGAGATCTGGTTTTTAAAAATTATACAGACAGCAAATGGTTAAAGTTAATGACATAATCAACTTACAGCGACTTATACAGACACACACAACTCAACACACACACACAACTTACAGCAACATACACAGACACACACAACTCAACACACACACACAACTTACAGCGAAGCATGAGGTGTCCCCAGGTACAATAAACTGGATGTGACCAGACACAGCGTTCTCACTGACCCCAGACTCAAACCACGACTGACCCAGTTCATTACAGGCCTGAAACAGTTGACCACAAGATTTTAATCAAACCACGACTGACCCAGTTCATTGCAGGCCTGAAACAGTTGACCACAAGATTTTAATCAAACCACGACTGACCCAGTTCATTGCAGGCCTGAAACAGTTGACCACAAGCTTTTAATCAAACCACGACTGACCCAGTTCATTGCAGGCCTGAAACAGTTGACCACAAGATTTTAATCAAACCACGACTGACCCAGTTCATTGCAGGCCTGAAACAGTTGACCACAAGATTTTAATCAAACCACGACTGACCCAGTTCATTGCAGGCCTGAAACAGTTGACCACAAGCTTTTAATCAAACCACGACTGACCCAGTTCATTGCAGGCCTGAAACAGTTGACCACAAGATTTTAATCAAACCACGACTGACCCAGTTCATTGCAGGCCTGAAACAGATGACCACAAGATTTTAATCAAACCACGACTGACCCAGTTCATTGCAAGCCTGAAACAGTTGACCACAAGATTTTAATCAAACCACGACTGACCCAGTTCATTGCAGGCCTGAAACAGTTGACCACAAGATTTTAATCAAACCACGACTGACCCAGTTCATTGCAGGCCTGAAACAGTTGACCACAAGATTTTAATCAAACCACGACTGACCCAGTTCATTGCAGGCCTGAAACAGTTGACCACAAGATTTTAATCAAACCACGACTGACCCAGTTCATTGCAGGCCTGAAACAGTTGACCACAAGATTTTAATCAAACCACGACTGACCCAGTTCATTGCAGGCCTGAAACAGTTGACCACAAGATTTTAATCAAACCACGACTGATCAGTTCATTGCAGGCCTGAAACAGTTGACCACAAGATTTTAATCAAACCACGACTGACCCAGTTCATTGCAGGCCTGAAACAGTTGACCACAAGATTTTAATCAAACCACGACTGACCCAGTTCATTGCAGGCCTGAAACAGTTGACCACAAGATTTTAATCAAACCACGACTGACCCAGTTCATTGCAGGCCTGAAACAGTTGACCACAAGATTTTAATCAAACCACGACTGACCCAGTTCATTGCAGGCCTGAAACAGTTGACCACAAGATTTTAATCAAACCACGACTGACCCAGTTCATTGCAGGCCTGAAACAGTTGACCACAAGATTTTAATCAAACCACGACTGACCCAGTTCATTGCAGGCCTGAAACAGTTGACCACAAGATTTTAATCAAACCACGACTGACCCAGTTCATTGCAGGCCTGAAACAGTTGACCACAAGATTTTAATCAAACCACGACTGACCCAGTTCATTGCAGGCCTGAAACAGTTGACCACAAGATTTTAATCAAACCACGACTGACCCAGTTCATTGCAGGCCTGAAACAGTTGACCACAAGATTTTAATCAAACCACGACTGATCAGTTCATTGCAGGCCTGAAACAGTTGACCACAAGATTTTAATCAAACCACGACTGACCCAGTTCATTGCAGGCCTGAAACAGTTGACCACAAGATTTTAATCAAACCACGACTGACCCAGTTCATTGCAGGCCTGAAACAGTTGACCACAAGATTTTAATCAAACCACGACTGACCCAGTTCATTGCAGGCCTGAAACAGTTGACCACAAGATTTTAATCAAACCACGACTGACCCAGTTCATTGCAGGCCTGAAACAGTTGACCACAAGATTTTAATCAAACCACGACTGACCCAGTTCATTGCAGGCCTGAAACAGTTGACCACAAGATTTTAATCAAACCACGACTGACCCAGTTCATTGCAGGCCTGAAACAGTTGACCACAAGATTTTAATCAAACCACGACTGACCCAGTTCATTGCAGGCCTGAAACAGTTGACCACAAGATTTTAATCAAACCACGACTGACCCAGTTCATTGCAGGCCTGAAACAGATGACCACAAGATTTTAATCAAACCACGACTGACCCAGTTCATTGCAGGCCTGAAACAGTTGACCACAAGATTTTAATCAAACCACGACTGACCCAGTTCATTGCAGGCCTGAAACAGTTGACCACAAGCTTTTAATCAAACCACGACTGACCCAGTTCATTGCAGGCCTGAAACAGTTGACCACAAGATTTTAATCAAACCACGACTGACCCAGTTCATTGCAGGCCTGAAACAGATGACCACAAGATTTTAATCAAACCACGACTGACCCAGTTCATTGCAAGCCTGAAACAGTTGACCACAAGATTTTAATCAAACCACGACTGACCCAGTTCATTGCAGGCCTGAAACAGTTGACCACAAGATTTTAATCAAACCACGACTGACCCAGTTCATTGCAGGCCTGAAACAGTTGACCACAAGATTTTAATCAAACCACGACTGACCCAGTTCATTGCAGGCCTGAAACAGTTGACCACAAGATTTTAATCAAACCACGACTGACCCAGTTCATTGCAGGCCTGAAACAGTTGACCACAAGATTTTAATCAAACCACGACTGACCCAGTTCATTGCAGGCCTGAAACAGTTGACCACAAGATTTTAATCAAACCACGACTGATCAGTTCATTGCAGGCCTGAAACAGTTGACCACAAGATTTTAATCAAACCACGACTGACCCAGTTCATTGCAGGCCTGAAACAGTTGACCACAAGATTTTAATCAAACCACGACTGACCCAGTTCATTGCAGGCCTGAAACAGTTGACCACAAGATTTTAATCAAACCACGACTGACCCAGTTCATTGCAGGCCTGAAACAGTTGACCACAAGATTTTAATCAAACCACGACTGACCCAGTTCATTGCAGGCCTGAAACAGTTGACCACAAGATTTTAATCAAACCACGACTGACCCAGTTCATTGCAGGCCTGAAACAGTTGACCACAAGATTTTAATCAAACCACGACTGACCCAGTTCATTGCAGGCCTGAAACAGTTGACCACAAGATTTTAATCAAACCACGACTGACCCAGTTCATTGCAGGCCTGAAACAGTTGACCACAAGATTTTAATCAAACCACGACTGACCCAGTTCATTGCAGGCCTGAAACAGATGACCACAAGATTTTAATCAAACCACGACTGACCCAGTTCATTGCAAGCCTGAAACAGTTGACCACAAGATTTTAATCAAACCACGACTGACCCAGTTCATTGCAGGCCTGAAACAGTTGACCACAAGATTTTAATCAAACCACGACTGACCCAGTTCATTGCAGGCCTGAAACAGATGACCACAAGATTTTAATCAAACCACGACTGACCCAGTTCATTGCAGGCCTGAAACAGTTGACCACAAGATTTTAATCAAACCACGACTGACCCAGTTCATTGCAGGCCTGAAACAGTTGACCACAAGATTTTAATCAAACCACGACTGACCCAGTTCATTGCAGGCCTGAAACAGTTGACCACAAGATTTTAATCAAACCACGACTGACCCAGTTCATTGCAGGCCTGAAACAGTTGACCACAAGATTTTAATCAAACCACGACTGACCCAGCTCATTGCAGGCCTGAAACAGTTGACCACAAGATTTTAATCAAACCACGACTGACCCAGTTCATTGCAGGCCTGAAACAGTTGACCACAAGATTTTAATCAAACCACGACTGACCCAGTTCATTGCAGGCCTGAAACAGATGACCACAAGATTTTAATCAAACCACGACTGACCCAGCTCATTGCAGGCCTGAAACAGTTGACCACAAGATTTTAATCAAACCACGACTGACCCAGTTCATTGCAGGCCTGAAACAGTTGACCACAAGATTTTAATCAAACCACGACTGACCCAGCTCATTGCAGGCCTGAAACAGTTGACCACAAGATTTTAATCAAACCACGACTGACCCAGCTCATTGCAGGCCTGAAACAGTTGACCACAAGATTTTAATCAAACAGAAACAGATAAACAGAATTACAAGAATGTAATCTATAACAAGGTTTAAACTTTACAAAACACCAACATTTTTTGTTCAACTTTGACTTAGCCTTGAATCACTGAAAGCAATACCACGTTTAGCTAAATGTGAACAACAAAATTTGTTTTTATTTCTTTACATTTGATAAAAATTGTTTTTTTTATTTACATTTTTTGCACTTGACAAAACTTAACATCAATAAGTTTAAAACTTCCTGACATTCAAATTTGATTCAATTTCATGATGTAGACAACAATAAATGTAAATACATGTAGAAAAACATCTCAAACCTACTGTGTTAATTGCCATACGAGCTTCAAAGTTGTCTACACAGCTGAGAACTAGGTCAACAGGCGTGTCCTGCTGTTTGCCACCCAGTCTGAAAATAAAACAAAAGGACATAAAAAGTAGGTCAATATGTGAGAACTAGGTCAATACATGAGAACTAGGTCAATTGAGAACTAGGTCAATACGTGAGAACTAGGTCGATATGTGAGAACTAGGTCAATGTGTGTCCTGCTGTTTGCCCCCTAACCTGAAAATAAAACCAAATGACAAGATAAAAATAAAGCGGGAGTTACCTCCCCTCAACTTTCTCGGGATATAGACATGATTTTTAATCCATTTTAAATACTTAAAGTTTTTAAAATAGAATCTTGTAGAATATAGAATTGCTCGCCAAGTGAAGGCCAAAACAAAATGTGTATAATAGTGAGGTGAATTATTAGTACTTAATAAAAATCACATGAGTTTTTTGAGAAATCGGAAATAGCGTAAATTACTACTTCCGGTCAACAGAAATTACTCAAAATTCAACAGAAGGCAGAGTATAAGATCTTTTACCTACATCTGAAATTTCATTTATCTATCTGAAACAGTACTCAAGTTACAGAAATACACACACACAGACATATGGACAAAATTGCAAAAAAAAAAGTTTCCAGCTCAGGGAGGTGTAAAACGTCGAGATTTGTAAAAATCTAAATTTTGTTTGCATAATTACAATACTTCCTCTATACTTTGTATACAAGAAAGTAAATATAGAGACAAGAATGCAATATTTTCAGATTAAATATATTTTTATCCACCACACAGATTAATGCATTTAGTGAGGATTATTATACCATGTAGATTATCTAAATCCCAGTCGAAGATAACTGTAACTGTTGTATTTCTTGTTTACGTTAGATCAGAGCTAGGGAACCAACTGCGACCCTCACCTGATTCTGTCCATGAAATGTTTAGGTTAGATCAGAGCTAGGGAACCAACTGCGACCCTCACCTGATTCTGTCCATGAAATGTTTAGGTTAGATCAGAGCTAGGGAACCAACTGCGACCCTCACCTGATTCTGTCCATGAAATGTTTATGTTAGATCAGAGCTAGGGAACCAACTGCGACCCTCACCTGATTCTGTCCATGAAATGTTTAGGTTAGATCAGAGCTAGGGAACCAACTGCGACCCTCACCTGATTCTGTCCATGAAATGTTTAGGTTAGATCAGAGCTAGGGAACCAACTGCGACCCTCACCTGATTCTGTCCATGAAATGTTTAGGTTAGATCAGAGCTAGGGAACCAACTGCGACCCTCACCTGATTCTGTCCATGAAATGTTTAGGTTAGATCAGAGCTAGGGAACCAACTGCGACCCTCACCTGATTCTGTCCATGAAATGTTTAGGTTAGATCAGAGCTAGGGAACCAACTGCGACCCTCACCTGATTCTGTCCATGAAATGTTTAGGTTAGATCAGAGCTAGGGAACCAACTGCGACCCTCACCTGATTCTGTCCATGAAATGTTTATGTTAGATCAGAGCTAGGGAACCAACTGCGACCCTCACCTGATTCTGTCCATGAAATGTTTAGGTTAGATCAGAGCTAGGGAACCAACTGCGACCCTCACCTGATTCTGTCCATGAAATGTTTAGGTTAGATCAGAGCTAGGGAACCAACTGCGACCCTCACCTGATTCTGTCCATGAAATGTTTATGTTAGATCAGAGCTAGGGAACCAACTGCGACCCTCACCTGATTCTGTCCATGAAATGTTTAGGTTAGATCAGAGCTAGGGAACCAACTGCGACCCTCACCTGATTCTGTCCATGAAATGTTTAGGTTAGATCAGAGCTAGGGAACCAACTGCGACCCTCACCTGATTCTGTCCATGAAATGTTTATGTTAGATCAGAGCTAGGGAACCAACTGCGACCCTCACCTGATTCTGTCCATGAAATGTTTAGGTTAGATCAGAGCTAGGGAACCAACTGCGACCCTCACCTGATTCTGTCCATGAAATGTTTATGTTAGATCAGAGCTAGGGAACCAACTGCGACCCTCACCTGATTCTGTCCATGAAATGTTGAAAGTTATCAACTGTTGTAATGTTGTAGTTGTAAACTTCAAACTCAACATCTGGGTTGATTTCTCTGAAACAAAAGATTGCTTGTGAATCAAAATTTGATAAATCAATATCCAGATAAAACAAACTTGTGTGAGCAAACCAAAATCTTTCTGTCCATTCATTAATAATTACATATAAATTTCATCAACTTCTATCAGTTACTTTTATTTTAATCAGTAAAGAATTGTTGAGACGTGCGGTGAGGAAAGGTCGACAATTATCAAACACGAAGTCTGTATGTGGTTAACTTCTTTATTGCTTGAGAGATGAAATGAATCCTAGTCTGCCTATAAGAGAATGGACCCCCTAACTTTCCTAACCCCACCTTTTATACCCTAACTAACCTCTAAGTATTTTTGTGCCATCTGTCACTTCCCCCCCAATCGTTCCTATGCTACAGAATTGTGCGTACTCTTTATTAACATTATTTAATCTCAATAAAACTAAATAGACTATAGATTGAAGGTTAATGAAAACATGTAAACAAAAGGGACGTGACTCTAAATCTACATGAATACTTATATATAACAATCCTAACAGTAATATTTGCAGAGAACTATCAACTGAGCTACAAATCTGAAGGGTTATTTACTGGAATAAAAAGGGTAAAGTTCACAAAGTTCATTTAAGAGTCAAGGGTGAAATTTTTTACCTTCAACCCCAGGGGAATAAAGGAGGACATAACAAATGAATGCAACCCCCCCCCATTAGACTTTTAGTTACTACAAAACTACATCCAAACATTCAAAATGTGTGCTCACAAAAGGTTACTGACTTGTGTGACTACAAAATGTTAACATACAGGTCCACAAAATGTGATATATCTCATGGGTCTACTAAATGTGATTTACCTGTGGCTCCACAAAATGTGATTTACCTGAGGCTCTACAAAATGTGATTTACCTGAGGCTCTACAAAATGTGATTTACCTGAGGCTCTACAAAATGTGATTTACCTGAGGCTCAACAAAATGTGATTTACCTGAGGCTCTATAAAATGTGATTTACCTGATGGGTCTACAAAATGTGATTTACCTGATGGGTCTACTAAATGTGATTTACCTGAGGCTCTACAAAATGTGATTTACCTGAGGCTCTACAAAATGTGATTTACCTGAGGCTCTACAAAATGTGATTTACCTGAGGCTCTACAAAATGTGATTTACCTGAGGCTCTACAAAATGTGATTTACCTGAGGCTCTATAAAATGTGATTTACCTGATGGGTCTACAAAATGTGATTTACCTGATGGGTCTACTAAATGTGATTTACCTGTGGCTCTACAAAATGTGATTTACCTGTGGCTCTACAAAATGTGATTTACCTGATGGGTCTACAAAATGTGATTTACCTGTGGCTCTACAAAATGTGATTTACCCAAGGCTCCACAAAATGTGATTTACCTGTGGCTCTACAAAGTGTGATTTACCTGAGCGTCCTCTCTGCAGCCTCGACCTTGCTGAGACCAGCTTGGTGCGGCTGGTAGAACAGCCTGTTCATGTTAGCCAGCTCCACCTTGTCATAGTCAAACAACAGCAGCTGTAGGGGCAGAGACATAGGGCATAGTCAAACAACAGCAGCTGTAGGGGCAGAGACATAGGGCATAGTCAAACAACAGCAGCTGTAGGGGCATAGTCAAACAACAGCAGCTGTAGGGGCATAGACATAGGGCATAGTCAAACAACAGCAGCTGTAGGGGCATAGACATAGGGCATAGTCAAACAACAGCAGCTGTAGGGGCATAGACATAGGGCATAGTCAAACAACAGCAGCTGTAGGGGCATAGACATAGTCAAACAACAGCAGCTGTAGGGGCATAGACATAGGGCATAGTCAAACAACAGCAGCTGTAGGGCATAGTCAAACAACAGCAGCTGTAGGGGCATAGTCAAACAACAGCAGCTGTAGGGGCATAGACATAGGGCATTGTCAAACAACAGCAGCTGTAGGGGCATAGACATAGGGCATAGTCAAACAACAGCAGCTGTAGGGGCATAGACATAGGGCATAGTCAAACAACAGCAGCTGTAGGGGCATAGTCATAGGGCATAGTCAAACAGCAGCTGTAGGGGCATAGACATAGGGCATAGTCAAACAACAGCAGCTGTAGGGGCATAGTCAAACAACAGCAGCTGTAGGGGCATAGACATAGGGCATTGTTAGCTGCAGGGGCATAGACATAGGGCATAGTCAAACAACAGCAGCTGTAGGGGCATAGACATAGGGCATAGTCAAACAGCAGCTGTAAGGGCATAGACATAGGGCATAGTCAAACAGCAGCTGTAGGCGCATAGACATAGGGCATAGTCAAACAACAGCAGCTGTAGGGGCATAGACATAGGGCATAGTCAAACAACAGCAGATGTAGGGGCATAGACATAGGGCATAGTCAAACAACAGCAGCTGTAGGGGCATAGACATAGGGCATAGTCAAACAACAGCAGCTGTAGGGGCATAGACATAGGGCATAGTCAAACAACAGAAGCTGTAGGGCATAGTCAAACAACAGCAGCTGTAGGGGCATAGACATAGGGCATAGTCAAACAACAACAGATGTAGGGGCATAGACATAGGGCATAGTCAAACAACAGCAGCTGTAGGGGCATAGACATAGGGCATAGTCAAACAGCAGCTGTAGGGGCATAGACATAGGGCATAGTCAAACAACAGCAGCTGTAGGGGCATAGACATAGGGCATAGTCAAACAACAGCAGCTGTAGGGGCATAGACATAGGGCATAGTCAAACAACAGCAGCTGTAGGGGCATAGACATAGGGCATAGTCAAACAACAGCAGCTGTAGGAGCATAGACATAGGCAAACAGCAGCAGCTGTAGGGGCATAGTCATAGGGCATAGGCAAACAGCAGCAGCTGTAGGAGCATAGACATAGGCAAACAGCAGCAGCTGTAGGAGCATAGACATAGTCAAACAACAGCAGCTGTAGGGGCATAGTCAAACAACAGCAGCTGTAGGGGCATAGACATAGGGCATAGTCAAACAACAGCAGCTGTAGGGGCATAGACATAGTCAAACAACAGCAGCTGTAGGGGCATAGACATAGGGCATAGTCAAACAACAGCAGCTGTAGGGCATAGTCAAACAACAGCAGCTGTAGGGGCATAGACATAGGGCATAGTCAAACAACAGCAGCTGTAGGAGCATAGACATAGGCAAACAGCAGCAGCTGTAGGGGCATAGTCATAGGGCATAGGCAAACAGCAGCAGCTGTAGGAGCATAGACATAGGCAAACAGCAGCAGCTGTAGGAGCATAGACATAGTCAAACAACAGCAGCTGTAGGGGCATAGTCAAACAACAGCAGCTGTAGGGGCATAGACATAGGGCATAGTCAAACAACAGCAGCTGTAGGGGCATAGACATAGTCAAACAACAGCAGCTGTAGGGGCATAGACATAGGGCATAGTCAAACAACAGCAGCTGTAGGGCATAGTCAAACAACAGCAGCTGTAGGGGCATAGACATAGGGCATAGTCAAACAACAGCAGCTGTAGGAGCATAGACATAGTCAAACAACAGCAGCTGTAGGAGCATAGACATAGGCAAACAGCAGCAGCTGTAGGGGCATAGTCATAGGGCATAGGCAAACAGCAGCAGCTGTAGGAGCATAGACATAGGCAAACAGCAGCAGCTGTAGGGGCATAGACATAGGGCATAGTCAAACAACAGCAGCTGTAGGGGCATAGTCAAACAACAGCAGCTGTAGGGGCATAGACATAGGGCATAGTCAAACAACAGCAGCTGTAGGGGCATAGTCAAACAACAGCAGCTGTAGGGGCATAGACATAGGGCATAGTCAAACAACAGCAGATGTAGGGGCATAGACATAGGGCATAGTCAAACAACAGCAGCTGTAGGGGCAGAGACATAGGGCATAGTCAAACAACAGCAGCTGTAGGGGCATAGACATAGGGCATAGTCAAACTACAGCAGCTGTAGGGGCATAGACATAGGGCATAGTCAAACAACAGCAGATGTAGGGGCATAGACATAGGGCATAGTCAAACAACAGCAGCTGTAGGGGCAGAGACATAGGGCATAGTCAAACAACAGCAGCTGTAGGGGCATAGACATAGGGCATAGTCAAACAACAGCAGCTGTAGGGGCATAGTCAAACAACAGCAGCTGTAGGGGCATAGACATAGGGCATAGTCAAACAACAGCAGCTGTAGGGGCAGAGACATAGGGCATAGTCAAACAACAGCAGCTGTAGGGGCATAGTCAAACAACAGCAGCTGTAGGGGCATAGACATAGGGCATAGTCAAACAACAGCAGCTGTAGGGGCATAGACATAGGGCATAGTCAAACAACAGCAGCTGTAGGGGCAGAGACATAGGGCATAGTCAAACAACAGCAGCTGTAGGGGCATAGTCAAACAACAGCAGCTGTAGGGGCAGAGACATAGGGCATAGTCAAACAACAGCAGCTGTAGGGGCATAGTCAAACAACAGCAGCTGTAGGGGCATAGACATAGGGCATAGTCAAACAACAGCAGCTGTAGGGGCAGAGACATAGGGCATAGTCAAACAACAGCAGCTGTAGGGGCATAGTCAAACAACAGCAGCTGTAGGGGCATAGTCAAACAACAGCAGCTGTAGGGGCATAGACATAGGGCATAGTCAAACAACAGCAGCTGTAGGGGCATAGACATAGGGCATAGTCAAACAACAGCAGCTGTAGGGCATAGTCAAACAACAGCAGCTGTAGGGGCATAGACATAGGGCATAGTCAAACAACAGCAGCTGTAGGAGCATAGACATAGGCAAACAGCAGCAGCTGTAGGGGCATAGTCATAGGGCATAGGCAAACAGCAGCAGCTGTAGGAGCATAGACATAGGCAAACAGCAGCAGCTGTAGGAGCATAGACATAGTCAAACAACAGCAGCTGTAGGGGCATAGTCAAACAACAGCAGCTGTAGGGGCATAGACATAGGGCATAGTCAAACAACAGCAGCTGTAGGGGCATAGACATAGTCAAACAACAGCAGCTGTAGGGGCATAGACATAGGGCATAGTCAAACAACAGCAGCTGTAGGGCATAGTCAAACAACAGCAGCTGTAGGGGCATAGACATAGGGCATAGTCAAACAACAGCAGCTGTAGGAGCATAGACATAGTCAAACAACAGCAGCTGTAGGAGCATAGACATAGGCAAACAGCAGCAGCTGTAGGGGCATAGTCATAGGGCATAGGCAAACAGCAGCAGCTGTAGGAGCATAGACATAGGCAAACAGCAGCAGCTGTAGGGCCATAGACATAGGGCATAGTCAAACAACAGCAGCTGTAGGGGCATAGTCAAACAACAGCAGCTGTAGGGGCATAGACATAGGGCATAGTCAAACAACAGCAGCTGTAGGGGCATAGTCAAACAACAGCAGCTGTAGGGGCATAGACATAGGGCATAGTCAAACAACAGCAGATGTAGGGGCATAGACATAGGGCATAGTCAAACAACAGCAGCTGTAGGGGCAGAGACATAGGGCATAGTCAAACAACAGCAGCTGTAGGGGCATAGACATAGGGCATAGTCAAACTACAGCAGCTGTAGGGGCATAGACATAGGGCATAGTCAAACAACAGCAGATGTAGGGGCATAGACATAGGGCATAGTCAAACAACAGCAGCTGTAGGGGCAGAGACATAGGGCATAGTCAAACAACAGCAGCTGTAGGGGCATAGACATAGGGCATAGTCAAACAACAGCAGCTGTAGGGGCATAGTCAAACAACAGCAGCTGTAGGGGCATAGACATAGGGCATAGTCAAACAACAGCAGCTGTAGGGGCAGAGACATAGGGCATAGTCAAACAACAGCAGCTGTAGGGGCATAGTCAAACAACAGCAGCTGTAGGGGCATAGACATAGGGCATAGTCAAACAACAGCAGCTGTAGGGGCATAGACATAGGGCATAGTCAAACAACAGCAGCTGTAGGGGCAGAGACATAGGGCATAGTCAAACAACAGCAGCTGTAGGGGCATAGTCAAACAACAGCAGCTGTAGGGGCAGAGACATAGGGCATAGTCAAACAACAGCAGCTGTAGGGGCATAGTCAAACAACAGCAGCTGTAGGGGCATAGACATAGGGCATAGTCAAACAACAGCAGCTGTAGGGGCAGAGACATAGGGCATAGTCAAACAACAGCAGCTGTAGGGGCATAGACATAGGGCATAGTCAAACAACAGCAGCTGTAGGGGCAGAGACATAGGGCATAGTCAAACAACAGCAGCTGTAGGGGCATAGACATAGGGCATAGTCAAACTACAGCAGCTGTAGGGGCATAGACATAGGGCGTAGTCAAACAACAGCAGATGTAGGGGCATAGACATAGGGCATAGTCAAACAACAGCAGCTGTAGGGGCAGAGACATAGGGCATAGTCAAACAACAGCAGCTGTAGGGGCATAGTCAAACAACAGCAGCTGTAGGGGCATAGACATAGGGCATAGTCAAACAACAGCAGCTGTAGGGGCAGAGACATAGGGCATAGTCAAACAACAGCAGCTGTAGGGGCAGAGACATAGGGCATAGTCAAACAACAGCAGCTGTAGGGGCATAGACATAGGGCATAGTCAAACAACAGCAGCTGTAGGGGCATAGACATAGGGCATAGTCAAACAACAGCAGATGTAGGGGCATAGACATAGGGCATAGTCAAACAACAGCAGCTGTAGGGGCAGAGACATAGGGCATAGTCAAACAACAGCAGCTGTAGGGGCATAGTCAAACAACAGCAGCTGTAGGGGCATAGACATAGGGCATAGTCAAACAACAGCAGATGTAGGGGCATAGACATAGGGCATAGTCAAACAACAGCAGCTGTAGGGGCAGAGACATAGGGCATAGTCAAACAACAGCAGCTGTAGGGGCATAGACATAGGGCATAGTCAAACAACAGCAGCTGTAGGGGCAGAGACATAGGGCATAGTCAAACAACAGCAGCTGTAGGGGCATAGACATAGGACACAGTCAAACAACAGCAGCTGTAGGGGCATAGACATAGGACACAGTCAAACAACAGCAGCTGTAGGGGTATAGACATAGGGCATAGTCAAACAACAGCAGATGTAGGGGCATAGACATAGGGCATAGTCAAGCAACAGCAGCTGTATGGGCATAGACATAGGGCATAGTCAAACAACAGCAGATGTAGGGGCATAGACATAGGGCATAGTCAAACAACAGTAGCTGTAGGGGCATAGACATAGGGCATAGTCAAACAACAGCAGATGTAGGGGCATAGACATAGGGCATAGTCAAACAACAGTAGCTGTAGGGGCATAGACATAGGGCATAGTCAAACAACAGCAGATGTAGGGGCATAGACATAGGGCATAGTCAAACAACAGCAGATGTAGGGGCATAGACATAGGGCATAGTCAAACAACAGCAGCTGTAGGGGCATAGACATAGGGCATAGTTAAACAACATTACAGGCATGTAAGTGGTACATAGTTAAACAACAGTAAAGGCATGGAATTACAGCATGGTTAGCTGTATGGGCATTAAAGTAGAGCATGGAGGTGGGACATTGTTAATTGCAGGAGCATTGAAGTAGGGCATTGTTAGTTGTAGGGACATAGTAACAGTAGCTGTAGGACACAGTCAAACAACAGGGCAGTGATATTAGGATTCATCACAGTAGATGGCCACCATCACAACTACAGGAAATTTTTGGCCATTTTTTTAATTTTTATACTTAACTCTTTCAGTCATTAATATATGCTAAATATTATAGCAATAGGTTTAGAAATAAGCATTTTGGTTAATTTTGTATTCATCACCCACCCATGCCCTTAAGGTAGTAAATAGCATCATCACTAGTAAGTAGCTTGGTATAAAGAGTTATGCCATTTTGTCAAATAATTCATCATAACATGACATAACAAAAACCTAAGTACTACAAACTTCCTCTAAACACACTTCCCAAAAGGCTAACCTTGCCGATACCACAGCGAGTCAACATCTCAGCTGTCACACTGCCAACACCACCCACACCAACAACAGCTATGCTGAAGTCACGAATTCTCTGAAACACAGTACACAAAACACTGTTAACAAATTAAATAACGTAAAAAGGTTTGCTATCAATGTGTAGAAAAAAACACCAACCAGACATCAAAAAACTAAAAACTGCCCATAGTAGGCTTGTATACACTGGTGGTAGGTGATGATGTAGGATATAACAAATGTACAGCTGTACAGTATGTAGATCAGGTGAGATGACTAAACTCAGGGTTTTATGGATATATTATCTATAATCTTAATAGTTTATTGGACAGCCTATGCGTAGACAACTGTAGATGAATTAATTGGTGCATCAGTGGGTTTTTTTCTGGCATTATTCTCCTGAGGGGGAGGGGCTAAGAGATGCCTGAAAGCAGCTCAGTCGATGAATTTAAACACCAGAAATTAATCATTTTCTTACAAATTTGTGACATGGAAGTTTTAGAGTTCAGAAACCAAAACATACCTCATAATTTTCCACAATCCCCATTCTTTTGAGGGCCATAAGTCGACTGTAGAGCAAGATTGTAATGGAAATTCATTATTTTATTTTATTCATAAAGCCATTTTAAAAGCATTTATCTACACAGCACTGTATACTGAGACAGCTGTAACACGACAGTATAATATACAGTATAGTATACTATATGCAAGGTCACATCAGTTTCTCACTGTAACAAAGTGTGGGTTGGGCTTAAGGAAAAATGTGTCGCCTCAGTGGGATGGAACAAAAATTATTTATGCTAATTAAGATTTTTTTTAAATGTCAGGAAAAAAGATTGACGTAGAAGAATACAGGTTTATTTAGGGGAAATAATGGACCAAGCTAGTGACTAGTGTTAAGCATTTAAGAAAAAAAAAAGGAATTTTCAGACCCCTTTAACATGTCCACCTAGATGCACCTTCTTCTCCCCAATAAACAAAAACTTGATAGTTCTATATGTTAATCCATCAACAAGTGATGTGTACTAGTAGCTTGCCATGCTAGAACATTTACAAACTCATTTAATGATTTCCAAAAATGTCTGTTATAAAATATTAACAGAAGAATCTGTGAGCTAATATGCTGAATAAAATAAATAAAATATTTCAAAAATATAAATAGGCCTATATGATAAGTGTTTATCTTAATAAACTTTTTTAGATATCAAACATTAAACTTTTTCATTTGTGTACGGTAAGAAAAGTTTTAAAATTATCATTTTCTGTCGTGATGCACATCACTGTTTATGACTTCTATTTCAGTTTTCATTCACGCCATTAGTTCTAGACCCTGATGGATCATATAACCACTTCATAGCAAGCCTACATCATAGTAAACCTACTTCATAGCAAGCCTACATCATAGTAAACCTACTTCATAGCAGGCCTACATCATAGTAAACCTACTTCATAGCAAGCCTACATCAGTATTCGGTGTCAAAACATTAAGACGTAGGTTCAGTCAATTGTTTTTCAAAATGCAGTAAAAACTCAAAATAACCACTTTAAAATTAGATATTTAAATAAAAGTGCTTGTAGAATGTAATCGCGCTATTTGGCGCCGTAGGCCTGATGGCAGTCAGATGTTATGCTAGGTATTCTGCTTCAAATGGTTTATTCTAAATATCATCCTTTATTTTAAACATAGACTATAAATTTTGTATGCAGGGTCGTGCATGTTGTAATGTATTGTTTATTATATAATAAGGCCTAAGGGATGATTGATGTTACCGATGTTTGATGACTCTTCCGAAAATAGGTGAGTTGGTAATAATGGTAGTAGCTTACTCTCATCCAGTTTTATGGTTAAATTAGGGTTAGCCGTATGGTAGGACTAGGTAGGGGTTAGGATTGACATCCGCAAGTCCGTTGTCTATTTATTTAGTTAGGCTAACTACCTTACACCCCCTTGACACTGGTATAAGAAATACACCAGCCTAAGTATTTTCATTAACAAAAACTAATAAATGCTAAATGTGTTGAAGACTCCCCCCCCCCCCCACCCCAACATGGACTTCTTATAAAGTAGGCCAAAACTTTTCAGCCTTTTTTCATACATACATACTACTATAGGCCTAAACTTTGGTAAAACCTTAGTTTAGCGTCGGTTATTATTCCGGAATGGTATAGCAGTAAAAAAACAGTAAAACAATGACAAAGTCTGTCACATTGTTCCGGAATCCACCCGAAGTACCGTAAACCATACTTTAATTGCCGTCATCTTTTATTTTTAATATAAAAAAAAAAGTTTCCCTTTCAAACCTGACGGTCTATGGGGCAAGTGAAATAGAGTTCACTTGTTTCTGTGACCTCGGCATATGAAGAGATAGTGTGGTCAGCACTATGCCCAGCCGCCTTTACTTTCCCTAACGTGAGTTAGGTACCCATCAGAGTTGGGTGGACTCAGGGACGGTCTACTGACTTGAACCCAGATTCGAACTCGAGACTTACGGGTTAGCAGTCCAGCTCTCTACCGCTAGACCACTCCGTCCCATTGTATTTTTAATATACTGCTTTATTAATCATTTTGTATAACTAGTTATTGTTAAGTGTTTCAGCTAAATATTTCTGCTACTTAACATTGTTTAACAGGATTGGTACGCAGTCTGGAAAAAGTCTTGATTTAGAAAAGTGAATTTCAGACTTTAAAAAGTCTGGATGGGTCTACACTGTGCTATAACGTTTTTCGCTGGATCGCAGAAGAAACCCGATTTCTCAGTTACTACGTCATTGAAGGACCTGTCTTTTTTTGTTGTGGTTGGGTGACTGACCGTGTAAATGTGTTAAAAGTATTTAAAATTGTTAGTTAATGAAAGAATGATCAGCCATACAAATTTCGACCTCTTTTTTACTTTCTTGTATATACAAAGAGAAAGTCTTGTAATCATCCAAAAAAAAAAAAAAAATCGAGATTCTTACAAATCTCGACATTTTACACCTCACTGATACGGAAAAACATAATTTTGCAATCTTGTCAGTATGTGTGTAAACACGATAAGTTGAGTACTGTTACAGCTGGTTGATGAAATTTCATATATAAGTATTTTATCAAAATTGTAGATCCGTATAAACTTTTGAGCAATTTCCGATAACCGGAAGTGGTACTTTTTTCACTTTGAACTTTTCAAAAGCCTATAACTTGAGTACTATTTCAGATAGATAAATGAAATTTCACAAGTAAGTAAAAGATCTAATTCTCTGCCTTCTATCAAATTTTGAGTAATTTCCGTCGACAGGAAATAGTAATTTACGCTATTTCCGATTTCTCTAAAAACTAATGTAAATTTATAAAGTACTAATAATATTGAGCACTATTATGCACAATTAATTTGGCGTTCACTTGGTGTGCAATTCTTTGCAACCAGCTAGATCCAATTATTAGGCCTAATTAATGGTCGTAAATCAGCTGCAAGCCAAAAACATTAAACAAATTATTACATTTGATTTTATTATTTATATAAGCTAGGCCTAGCCTATATTTTTTTATTTTTTAGATCTAGGCCTACTAATTTTTTTTTAAATCTAAATTCTATATTTATTTCTGTTTCATGTTGTCGATAAAACTTAAAAAATAAAAACATTAATTTACTACAATCGACTTTCACTTTTTTATATTTCATTTTCAATGGTCGAATAAATAATAAACCTAAACTCAAGAAACATTGGGTGTTGGGAAATTGTGAGACGCAAAAAGCGAAATGGCGAGGCGGGAAAATGCAAGACATACCTGCGGAATTGAGGGTAAATAGCGAGACACCTTTTGCGAAAAAAAAGTTTTTTTTCATGCTTTTATTCATCTTTATTTATTTAAATTATTTTTTTTTTGTTTTAAAATAAACAAGCATGTAGGCATACCCTTTAACACGAATGTTTTATGTTGTTATTTTTTATCTAGATTTTATTATATATATAGATACAAAGAAGATAGATGGATCTATATCTAGATCTATCTATTAAAAAATCCTAACATCGTTGCTGTGCTACTGACATCGCCCGCTCTCGTTAGCGAGAGGAAAATCCCGTCTCAGTCGACATTAATTTTAAAAATCTAGCCCGCACATGTTTATACAAACGAGATCTGGGTCATTGTGAATTGGTATAATCTTGTCAGCAGCAGATATATTCTGCAACATGTATTCATGGATTGTTGTACTTGCAAAAAGTGTAAAAGTATAAACAATTCTAAAAAGTGTAATTATTTTTTATTAAGTAATTTTAATTACAAACAAAATCTTTTGAAACAGTCCTAGCATTACGCAAACACACCTCGTCACACCATCTTTCACACATAGTACATCCAACCCAGTTCATTAGACTCCCATTTATACTGTGCTAACACAGAACACGAATATGAACAGAATGGAAAAAAAATGTGCGTTTATAGATAATCTGAATAAAGTCCGCTATCGACAAAACTACCATTTAATAGCTAAAAGGGGTCATCCATAAATGACGTACATCACGCTTTTTTTGATGATTATTACGCCCCCTCCCCCCTGTCACACATTTTCACAAAAATCTAGACCCCCCCACTAAAATGACGTCACACCTCAGCCTACAACCCCCTTCAAAATTGCAGTTGAATTTTTTTTTAAAACATCGATATTTTCACAAAATTGTGTCTAATTTCTGTCAGAATAGAGTATTTTAATCAATTCCTATTACAATTTATTAAAACAGTTTTCTAAAACGCGAAATACCGTCTAAAATTCTTTTATCACACATTTCTATGCAACAATACAAAATATGTTTGCGGCGGCAGCGGATTCGGGCACGGTGATCTTCAAAGACGGTAAATTAGGCAGCCTCGGCGTTCAACACAAAAGAAAGAAGTTGATCTATCGTCTGCCGTATTTCGGGCGGTTTCGAACAAGTTGGTATTTTAAGTCGACACAAAAGATGGGAGCAGTTCACAAATCATCAGTGAGTATGTTTAGCGACGGAAAAATCTGAAGTTTTAACAATGTAAATGAAACGTCTTTGAAGTCTGCACCAAATACCACTGTAAATCGAGTGCGCTAAATTTTTCCCAGAAATCTTCGCATTTTAACACCACCCAGCGTAAGTATCGGGTTGTGGTAATATGCAAGACAAAATGTCACGTGACCGACCATTTTCGCGCCCTTCTCGCATTTTCCCGCCTCGCCACTTTGCAATTTCCCTACACCCACATACAATAAGCCTGAATAAGCCTACCCTACCCCATAATTTCCGACGTGGTTAAACTAAGGTTTTACCTAGAGTAAAGTTCCACGCGCGGTTAAAACACCGGTGCGATCATCGCCTGTTTATCGCTTCGTACAATATTTGTTTTGATGTTTTATACGAAACTACCGATATCTGCTGTAAACCTGTCCATTTCTAAATATATCCAGGTCAAATTCTTTTGTTTTTCTCCTTCTGGAAGTCGAGTTTTTAAATTTTAAAGTTTCGAGGTATGACGTCGTAGGCGGTTCTAGTTCCCCCTATGAAAAACACTAGGTCCCGGATGAGATGAATAAAACCAACCAATCAAAGCTTTTTATAACTAGGTTAACTATAAATAGCTTCTACAATATATGCGGGACACTGTACATACGATAGATAAGGCTAATAAAGCAACCTGATAGGTAAATAGGGGTGGCCGCAGCTTGGGTGTCGATTACGGTGGTTTCACATCGCTGCGTAACCAACGACTTGAGCTAGACTAGCCTAGTTCTAGATGCTCTATATTTCAAACTAAGCCTAGAATCTGTATACTTTCTATTTTTTTCTGCTGTTTTAAATTATTTCGATCATCTACTTATTCTAAATCTAGTTTGTGTCTCTACATACAAGCATATCTAAGCAAATGTTACGTTATGTCTTTTAGTGGTTGTTACGTCCCTTTGTTATGATTATTATAGTTGCGTCCCTTGAGTCATCACTGGGTCAACTTTTAATGTCTTTAATTAATTTAATTAACATGTTTTTAATTATTATTTTTGCAATCTATTAATTAATAATACAATCAACAACACGTTTAAGTGTGTAAAATATTTATTTCAATTATTAAAATTGGATCAAAACGTATACAATACGCTCGTTGGCAAGCAGGTTCTTGCGTACGCAGGCAAAAAAAAAAGGGAAAAAAAATATCGCAAGGAGGGACGTCACTAAAACATGAATATCTTAAATACTATGCGTAGGAATACAAAATGACTCATACATATTACAGTAGAATGGCAGCGGAGTAATACAGTGCTTTCGGTTTGTTTCTGTGTGAAACGGTTATAAAATAGCGCCCGATGAAAATCGGGAATTTGGAATTTTCCGCTATGTGTGACCGCGCGTGGAACTTTACTCTAGATCTAAACTTTTACTTTATTTTACTTAGCCCTGACTATTATTGGCCTTTCGCTCACCTATAAGGATTTGAGTCGACAACCTCTGCACTCATTTCTGAGATAGGCTGTCGTTTGATTACATCGGTCATTTCATGAACCTTTCTGGTTTCTCTTTCGAGTTTCTCCCTCAGCTCAGCAATCGTTTGTTGAAGTTCTCCAATCGATGCCATTCTAATAAGTTTTTAAAATTGATCCAAGGGTTTTAGTATTAAATATAGTCTATATCTGTATGTAGGAATAAGCAGCAAATGTAAATTTATGCGTGTTTATAACGTTTACTAAATAAAATGCGGGGCTCTTACTTTTACTGTTATAACAAGTAGGCCTAATATGACACGCAAACATATGGATAAAAAAAAATTGAAAACAAGCAAAGTAGGTTAAATAAAACTAGATCAACCATCTTACTTAATAAATAAGCTTATAAATAAGCTTATATAATTGTTGTAATTTTAGAGATACAATTTTTAGTTAACATTTTCTACTATAATTTTATTCTTTAATGGAATAAATTTGAAAACAATCGAAATAATTAATAGTTTATTTTTAAGAATATTCAACAATAATAATAAAAACAATAACAAAAGCAAACTGGCAAGTTTTATACATTTTAAACTGCTATGACTACAAATAAAAACCTACAACTTCGTAGGTATTAGAATAAAAATTTAAATGTGATCGCTTGTACAACGGCTCGTTGGTCTAGGGGTATGATTCTCGCTTTGGGTGCGAGAGGTCCCGGGTTCAAATCCCGGACGAGCCCAAGCTTTTTATCTAGGTGCAAAAAAAATATATTTTAAGCTTGGTACTAATTCTAGTGTATGTGTTATTCCTGCTCAGCGATATAAATGTAAATCTGTAATCAAATTTCAATTTTTAAAAAAGCTTGGCCGTAGAATATTAATTTGAGACTTTTAATGATACTACCAAGTGATGAGGGATACTTTAAATAAATGTAAACATTAAATCAGTCCGAGGTGTAGGTGTCACTTGGAAGATACCAGCCCTTTTCAAAAAGTGTCCAAGGTCTATATGCTGGATCATTAGTGAACGTAGCCTTTTGTATCAGGAGTCGTGACTCGTACTGGGGAGGGGGGCTTTTTTCTGTGTCTTGTATAAGACTGTTGTACTGACAGAGTAGAAGATAAGGGGCTAACAAATTAAGCGATACGTTTTGTTATGGATTAGTGATGGTGATGGTGATGGTGTTTCTTGTGCTGTGTGGTTAAAAAAAGTGTGAATCAGACGCGATGTAAACACAGCTGAGATGACTGATGGTACCCACACCGTACCACGTAGGTGAGTAGGCCTGCTTACAATGTAAGTCTACATACATGTACCCCACACTGTACCACGTAGGTGAGTAGGTCTGCTTACAATGTAAGTCTACATACATGTACATAAAGGTGAGTAGGCCTTCTTACAATGTAAGTCTACATACATGTACATAAAGGTGAGTAGGCCCTCTTACAATGTAAGTCTACATACATGTACATAAAGGTGAGTAGGCCTTCTTACAATGTAAGTCTACATACATGTACATAAAGGTGAGTAGGCCTTCTTACAATGTAAGTCTACATACATGTACATAAAGGTGAGTAGGCCTTCTTACAATGTAAGTCTACATACATGTACATAAAGGTGAGTAGGCCTTCTTACAATGTAAGTCTACATACATGTACATAAAGGTGAGTAGGCCTTCTTACAATGTAAGTTTACATACATGTACATAAAGGTGAGTAGGCCTGCTTACAATGTAAGTCTACATACATGTACATAAATGTACCCCCCCCTACACACGTTCAACCCGTTACACAACACTGTTCAAACAGATTTTTAAAAAAGGCAAAATTAGAAAATAATTATTTTATTTTAAAAATACAAAAATGAATAGTTAACATTCTAGTTAAATTATAAGAAAAAAATATGTACATATTAAATTTTAAATAACAATGTGAAATATTATCGACATTAAGCTAGCTGCACTATATTTGCTACATAATATTGCAAATAAGTGATTGCCATCCTTCAGCTGGGCAAGTCGTTTGTACATATTTACAACATCAGCATAGTAACAACATATCATATCAACATATCAACACAAATCATATCAACATATCAACACAAATCATATCAACATATCAACACAAATCATATCAACATATCAACACAAATCATATCAACATATCAACACAAATCATATCAACATATCAACACAAATTCTGCATTGTATGAACACAATATCAGCATTTTAAAAATGTATACTTTTTTTTTAAAGTAGTGCAGAGTTGAGAGGGTTTAAAGGGACAGCACTGCGATTTCCGTTAATTGTTTTTTTTTTCACAATAGTCGGCCAGTATATACCAATAGGTACATGACATTTGTCTAATGTCGCAGCCAGCGGGTTACTGTGGGGAGGGGGAGGGGAATCGGGCTAGAGGACAGAGGGCTGATTGTTTTTATTTAATACAAATAAGAAGCCACGTTTTAAAAAAGGCAGTCAAACAATAGAACATAAAAAGCCCTAAGTTACAATAACATATTTTCATACGGAACAATAAATAAATAAATAATAGAACATAAAAAGCCCTAAGTTACAATAACATATTTTCATACGGAACAATAAATAAATAATTAATAGAACATAAAAAGCCCTAAGTTACAATAACATATTTTCATACGGAACTATAAATAAATAAATAATAGAACATAAAAAGCCCTAAGTTACAATAACATATTTTCATACGGAACAATAAATAAATAGATAAAATAAAATAATATAAATAATATTATATGCCGTCTTTGAGCTTCTGATGAGCAGCGATGTTTAATTTAAAAAAGGAAAATGATGATGGTTAACACACTCAATAATAATATTTTACAAAGAACCGACATTATTCTTATTTCTGGTAGGTCCTGGTGTCATAAGTACTGATGCCCTAAGTCATGATGTCCTAAGTCATGATGTCCTAAGTCATGATGTCCTAAGTCCTGATGTCCTAAGTCATGATGTCCTAACTCGTGGTGTCTTAAGTCCCTATGTCCTTTTGTTCACACAAGCTACGACGGTGGTCCTTGTGAAGTGATACACTTGTAAATTCATGTACACAGTATACTTCAATACCGTGCGTACAACCCCTGTGGTGATGACTAGCATCTTGACCCGTGTATGTACGTGCCCTTAAGGGTAGGGACAAACTTGAAGTTTCTGGCTCAACATCCGTGTTCGTCTGGTTGAGATATCTAGGTCATCAATCGACACGTGTGTTCACCGGATCTTTACCTCACGTGTTGTTGTCACGTGATCTATGTCTGTCTCTGCCATCTGTCATGTCGTCAATCTATTGCTGTAACTGTCAGTGTCAGTGTCATGTCAACAATGTGCCAACTGCTAGCTTTAGATGTTACTGTCGTCTATTTGGTCTGGCAAACTGTTTTATAAATGCTGCTGACAATTTGCCAACTGTCACTGTCATCTGTCAGCTTGGTATGTCAGTTCAAAAAACTAGCTGAGTACCAGCAAATACACAACAAAGTTCAGTAACAAAAACAGTTGACTAAACTGAATTGATCAACCTACAGCTTTACTAGTCAGCTCCAGTGTCCAATAGTTGTCATCAAGTGTTCAACTATTTATACAATACCTAATCAGTGGATAAACCAATCAAACATCTTGGTACAGTACCTAATTAATAAATAAACCAATCAAACATCTTGGTACAGTACCTAATTAATAAATAAACCAATCAAACATCTTGGTACAGTACCTAATCAGTGAATAAATTAACCAAGACATTGACTGGGTTGAATGCTTGGGTAGACTAGAGTGGGTTGGGGGTGGGGCTGTCTATAAGTTGAACCACTTGCACTGGTCTAGGGTGGGTTGGGGGTGGGGCTGTCTATAAGTTGAACCACTTGCACTGGTCTAGGGTGGGTTGGGGGTGGGGCTGTCTATAAGTTGAACCACTTGCACTGGTCTAGGGTGGGTTGGGGGTGGGACTGTCTATAAGTTGTATCACTTGCACTGGTCTAGGGTGGGTTGGGGGTGGGCCTGTCTATAAGTTGAAGCACTTGCACTGGTCTAGGGTGGGTTGGGGGTGGGTTGGGGGTGGGACTGTCAAAAGTTGTATCACTTGCACTGGTCTAGGGTGGGTTGGGGGTGGGTTGGGGGTGGGCCTGTCTATAAGTTGAAGCACTTGCAGACGTCTAGGATGAGTTGAAACACTTGCACACGTCTAGGATGAATTGAACCACTTGCAGACGTCTAGGATGAGTTGAAACACTTGCACACGTCTAGGATGAGTTGAAACACTTGCAGACGTCTAGGATGAGTTGAAACACTTGCACACGTCTAGGATGAATTGAACCACTTGCAGACGTCTAGGATGAATTGAAACACTTGCACACGTCTAGGATGAATTGAAGCACTTGCACACGTCTAGGATGAGTTGAAACACTTGCAGACGTCTAGGATGAGTTGAAACACTTGCACACGTCTAGGATGAGTTGAAACACTTGCACACGTCTAGGATGAGTTGAAACACTTGCACACGTCTAGGATGAGTTGAAACACTTGCACACGTCTAGGATGAGTTGAAACACTTGCACACGTCTAGGATGAATTGAAACACTTGCAGACGTCTAGGATAAATTGAAACACTTGCAGACGTCTAGGATGAATTGAAACACTTGCACACGTCTAGGATGAGTTGAAACACTTGCAGACGTCTAGGATGAATTGAAACACTTGCACACGTCTAGGATGAGTTGAAACACTTGCACACGTCTAGGATGAGTTGAAACACTTGCACACGTCTAGGATGAGTTGAAACACTTGCACACGTCTAGGATGAATTGAAACACTTGCACCAGCCCGGGTATGTGACGAACTCGAGTCTGGCACGACGGTAGACAAGCTGATCCTCCTCGCTGGGGTAGTCGCCATATTGGCCGTCGTCGTCCACCACCACGGCCACCGTCGTGATGTTCTGCTGCTTACAGCGACAGCCGCGCTGACAGCCCTGTACGTGCCTGGGGAGGGGAGGAACGTGATGATGTAGGTGGGGGTGGGGGTGTAGGGGGGGGGGAGGAACATGTTGATGTAGGTGGGGGTGGGGGTGAAGGGGGGTATTGGGGTGGGGGTGTAGGGGGTGTATTGGGGTGGGGGTGTAGGGGCGGAGGAACATGTTGATGTAGGTGGGGGTGGGGGTGTAGGGGGTGTATTGGGGTGGGGGTGTAGGGGGGGGGGAGGAACATGTTGATGTAGGTGGGGGTGGGGTGTAGGGGGGGGAGCAACATGATGATGTAGGTGGGGGTGGTTGTGTTAGGGCGGGGGGGGGGGAGATGTAATGGGGTAAGTCATGGGGGTGGTTGTGTAGGGGGTGTAATTAGGTGAGTCATGGGGGTAGTTGTGAAGGGGGGGTGTAATGGGGTGGTTGAGTAGGGGGGTAATGGGGTGGTTGTGTAGGGGGTGTAATGGGGTGGTTGTGTAGGCGTGCAATTGGGTGAGTCATGGGGTGGTTGTGTGGAGTAGTTCTGCAGAGGGTTGTCAATTAGAAGTAGGTTCATATTGAGTTATGTACTGGTCCTGTAATTGTAATGGTTTTATTATGATAGTGTTTATTTAGTAATTAACGGCCAAGAAATGTTGTGTTAGTGTTGTAATTACATAAAGTAGTAGGTCTAATGTGGGTCTAATGTAGGTCTAATGTAGTTTTCTAGTTGTTAATTAGAAATGTAGTCTACTAAAGTAATATTATCTTAGTTAAGTAATTTAATAAATCAGGTATACAGCGATTGATTGGTTTCCTAACGGTATATATGTTGATGTAGCCGCCCCCACACCTCCCTTTGTTAGATCATATACAAGATCAAATTGATATCTAATACTAATAAACAGTAGATGGTGTGTAGGATGAATCGACTGTTTAACGTTGTCTTTATAGTTGTTGTCATGTGACCTGGTTATTTTATTATAGAGGGTAAAAATACTATTGAAATAAAGACGTATAGAAAAGGGGGGGGGGGTGGGAAGAGGGGGGCACTTTAAAAATATCTCTGTCTAAAAGGTGGGAAACTTTGAAGTGATGGAGGACACGGAAGTGATATTTTCATGAGGTCAAGTGTCACATTGACGTCACAGTCTTAGCAAACCGGATTAAAAACTGTGTGGGTGTGTTCAGTGTGTTCAATGTAACATACTTTAGGCTGTTTTATATTTAAAGCCCCCGCCACTTCCCCTTCCACCCCATGTGTAGGTCAAGACGACTGGCCATACAACATAAACATAATGTCACGTGATCTGTCTCGCCAAATGAACCAATCAACTACCTGCCATACAACAGAAACATAATGTCACGTGATCTGTTTGACCAATCAATTACCTGCAGACGTCCTGGAGAAAAAACTGCTTCCGGGTCTTAAATTGGACCAGCTTGACTCTCTTGTTTGAAGGCGTGTAAAGTGTAGGTGGAGCAGAGTAGTCCTGGTAGCTGCAAGCAAACAATGTATTGCATGTAATCAGAGCGTGTTTATCGTAGTGTTAACATCATTTGTTTCAACATGTCAACCACTACACAATGTTAACATCATTTGTTTCAACATGTCAACCACTACACAATGTTAACATCATTTGTTTTAACATGTCAACCAGTACACAATGTTAACATCATTTGTTTTAACATGTCAACCACTACACAATGTTAACATCATTTGTTTTAACATGTCAACCACTACACAATGTTAACATCATTAGTTTTAACATGGCAATCACTACACAATGTTAACATCATTCCTTTCAACATGTCACATAATCAGTTTCAAAATGTTACATCATCAGTCTCAACATTCATATCATCAATTTCAACATTCACATCACTAGTCTCAACACGTCACATCATCAGTTTCAACATTCACATCATCAGTTTCAACATTCACATCATCAGTTTCAACATTCACATCATCAGTTTCAACATTCACATCATCAGTTTCAACATTCACATCATCAGTTTCAACATTCACATCATCAGTTTCAACATTCACATCATTAGTTTCAACATTCACATCATCAGTTTCAACATTCACATCATTAGTTTCAACATTCACATCATCCGTTTCAACATGTCACCTACTATACAAACATGCGACCTAGAGATGAGTGTACGACCTACAAGTGTACGACCTACAAGTGTACGACCTACATGTGTACGACCTACATGTGTACGACCTAGATATGTGTGTACGTGTACACGTGTACTTACGACTCACAACATCCGTGAAACGTACGTCTGCTCTTGGATTTGACGTCAAAATCGGCCAACCTGCCAACCCTTGGCTCGTCCAGCGATGACGTCAGTGAGGGCCCTGAGGGGGTCAAAGGTCAACAGTTTTATTGGACGTGCCACAAACTGCTAGTAAACAAATTGGACGCTGGGCATTAGCATTGTTGATTTGTCTTTAGTAAACAAATTGGACGCTGGGCATTAGCATTGTTGATTCGTCTTTAGTAAACAAATTGGACGCTAGGCATTAGCATTGTTGATTCGTCTTTAGTAAACATTGGTTCTTTAAAAAAGGGGGAGAGGGGCCTTTTGAAACTTTCAGGAGGAGATAAAAAGGTAAAGATTTTCTATATAATTTTTTATTCTGTATGCAATGGGGTGGGGGTGGGTAGTGTGTAAGCGGTGGACTTGCTCAGTGGGGTTGGGGAGGGGGGTGGTGCTCTAGAAAAGATGCCTAAAATAAACACTGTCGATAAACGTAGCAACACAAGTTTAAATTTCAGCATCCTCAATTCCCAGCCCAACCCCCCTCCCAAGGAAAAAATCCCCGACTTACGGCTGGCACACTGTAAGCTGCAGGTATCGTTGCCGGTCGTGTCAGTCTCCGGCACCTCGTACGGTTCACTGACCACGTCGTTGACGGTCAGGCCGGCCTGGGGCACCTCGCGGAAAAAACTCTGGTACTGGTCCAGCAGGGTATTCTGTCTGGTGCCGCCACGCCTCTGGTAGAAGGGGGGGTCGGGCGTGCTGGGGGAGAGGTGGAAGATATTGGGACGTTAGAACAACGGATGTAACAGGGACAGACAGTCATCGCTCAGATTGATTAGAAAAACATCAAATGGATGGACAATACAGGTACACGTCAAATGGATGGACAGTACAGGTACACAACAAATGGATGGACAATACATGTACACGTCAAATGGATGGACAATACAGGTACACATCAAATGGATGGACAGTACAGGTACACAACAAATGGATGGACAATACATGTACACGTCAAATGGATGGACAATACAGGTACACATCAAATGGATGGACAATACATGTACACATCAAATGGATGGACAATACAGGTACACAACAAATGGATGGACAATACAGGTACACCAAATGGATGGACAATACAGGTACACAACAAATGGATGGACAATACATGTACACATCAAATGGATGGACAGTACAGATACACACCAAATGGATGGACAATACAGGTACACATCAAATGGATGGACAATACAGGTAAACATCAAATGGATGGACACGACAGATAAACATCGAACTCATGCATGATACTTGAGTGTTTTCTTTGTGGTTTAAAAAAAACCCCCAAAAGGTAAATTAATCTATAGTTAAAGTAATTATCCTTTGTGTAAAAGCAACCGATACAACTAGCTAATTATTTAAAATAAAATACCATGTACCAGGTATAATTTATTCAATAATAAAAATGTGTGTCACTTACTAGACTTCTTTGAAAATAGCAAAGGAGAATCCTACAACAGCGGCGAGACCAAGCACAATAGATAAAACAATCTGCGGAGGTAAGAGAAGGAATGTTTACACTTTGTGGTATCACGAGAGTAGTAATCTACAAACTAGTACAACTTACTAGAAGGTAATCAACAAACTAATACAACGTACTAGAAGGTAATCAACAAACTAGTACAACTTACTAGAAGGTAATCAACAAACTAATACAACGTACTAGAAGGTAATCAACAAACTAGTACAACTTACTAGAAGGTAATCAACAAACTAATACAACGTACTAGAAGGTAATCAACAAACTAGTACAACTTACTAGAAGGTAATCAACAAACTAATACAACGTACTAGAAGGTAATCAACAAACTAGTACAACTTACTAGAAGGTAATCAACAAACTAGTACAACTTACTAGAAGGTAATCAACAAACTAATACAACGTACTAGAAGGTAATCAACAAACTAGTACAACTTACTAGAAGGTAATCAACAAACTAGTACAACTTACTAGACAACAAACTAATACAACTTACTAGACAACAAACTAATACAACTTACTAGAAGGTAATCAATAAACTAATACAACTTACTAGAAGGTAATCAATAAACTAGTACAACTTACTAGAAGGTAATCAACAAACTAGTACAACTTACTAGAAGGTAATCAAAAACTAGTACAACTTACTAGAAGATAATCAACAAACTAGTACAACTTACTAGAAGGTAATCAACAAACTAGTACAACTTACTAGAAGGTAATCAACAAACTAGTACAACTTACTAGACAACAAACTAATACAACTTACTAGACAACAAACTAATACAACTTACTAGAAGGTAATCAATAAACTAATACAACTTACTAGAAGGTAATCAATAAACTAGTACAACTTACTAGAAGGTAATCAACAAACTAATACAACTTACTAGAAGGTAATCAACAAACTAGTACAACTTACTAGAAGGTAATCAACAAACTAGTACAACTTACTAGAAGGTAATCAACAAACTAGTACAACGTACTAGAAGGTAATCAACAAACTAGTACAACTTACTAGAAGGTAATCAACAAACTAGTACAACTTACTAGAAGGTAATCAACAAACTAGTACAACTTACTAGAAGGTAATCAACAAACTAGTACAACTTACTAGACAACAAACTAATACAACTTACTAGACAACAAACTAATACAACTTACTAGAAGGTAATCAATAAACTAATACAACTTACTAGAAGGTAATCAATAAACTAGTACAACTTACTAGAAGGTAATCAACAAACTAATACAACTTACTAGAAGGTAATCAACAAACTAGTACAACTTACTAGAAGGTAATCAACAAACTAGTACAACTTACTAGAAGGTAATCAACAAACTAGTACAACTTACTAAATGATAATCAACAAGCTAATACAACTTACTAGAAGGTAATCAACAAACTAATACAACTTACTAAATGATAATCAACAAACTAGTACAACTTACTAGAAGGTAATCAACAAACTAGCACAACTTACTAGACAACAAACTAATACAACTTAATAGACAACAAACTAATACAACTTACTAGAAGGTAATCAATAAACTAATACAACTTACTAGAAGGTAATCAATAAACTAATACAACTTACTAGAAGGTAATCAACAAACTAATACAACTTACTAGAAGGTAATCAACAAACTAATACAACTTACTAGAAGGTAATCAACAAAATAATACAACTTACTAAAAGGTAACCAACAAACTAATACAACTTACAACTTACTAGAAGGTAATCAATAAACTAATACAACTTACTAGAAGGTAATCAACAAACTAATACAACGTACTACAAGGTAATCAACAAACTAATACAACGTACTAGAAGGTAATCAACAAACTAATACAACTTACTAGAAGGTAATCAACAAACTAATACAACTTACTAGAAGGTAATCAACAAACTAATACAACGTACTAGAAGGTAATCAACAAACTAATACAACTTACAACTTACTAGAAGGTAATCAATAAACTAATGCAACTTACTAGACAACAAACTAATACAACTTACTAGAAGGTAATCAATAGACTAATACAACTTACTAGAAGGTAATCAACAAACTAATACAACTTACTAGACAACAAACTAATACAACTTACTAGAAGGTAATCAACAAACTAATACAACTTACTAGAAGGTAATCAACAAACTAATACAATTTACTAGACAAAACTTTAAACGTAAACGTTTAAATATCTATCATAAATATGGGTAGGGGGAGAAATGAGAACAGCAGTGAGGGTACGGGAGAGGCAGAAAGGGGTGGGGGTGGTACCAAGTGGGGTGGGGCGGAGAGGACAACTTACCCAACGTTTCCGTATACAGCAGTGTCTGCTTTTTTCTGGCATGCTGTTTTCACTGTCTGTTGAAATCTGCAATGAAAGTGCCAATGAAGGTTTCAATAAAGGTGTCAATGTTGGACGATGTCAATGAAGGTGTCAATGTTGGATGATGTCAATAAAGGTGTCAATGTTGGATGATGTCACTAAAGGTGTCAAAAAAAGCTACTCACCGTTACAGAATTGCTAGTGTTGTCGTCTTCGTTTGGCATAGTGTTGTCCATGGTGGTCGGAGGTGAAAGGTCGGAGGTGAAAGTTCAGCTATCAAAAGTGGTCGCTACTGAAAGAAATGACAAAAAAGCGATGCAGATATAAAAACATTGCTATGGAGCCTTCACAATGTCATTTTATAATCAGGGGCGTATCTGGTGGCAGCGTGACTCCCCCCCTGTGTCTCCCCCCCCCACCTCACACACGCAGACAATTTGCATACATTACATAAATGATCTCCGGGAAAATTGATCTATGACCTACTTCTACTAACTAGCATTGGGGAAAACTACTTAAGACAGAGTCAATTGAACCAACACAACTGCAAGTGAAAGTCTGATCAATCAGCGTTTTATGAGGAAATTACATTCCACCATAATTAAAGACAAAACTGATGTAGCCTGGCTTAACTTATTCCCCCCCCCCCTCCCCCCAAATCCCCAGGGTACTATGAGCTATGAGCGAGGCTAGGGCAGGGAGTGCGACGCTAAACAATTCAGCATTGAATGTGCTCATGAATCATGGCGTGGCACACACACGCGTCAAGACGACTCGATATGATGCTCGTGGCACACACACGTCAAGATGACTCGATATGATGCTCGTGTCACACACACACGTCAACATGACTCGACATGATTCTCGCTTTATTTGTAGGCGGGGAAAATTTCTCACTTGGAAACTTTGCATGGCGTCAAATCAGAACATTTACCAATACAGTGGCGTAGGCAATGGGAGAGGGGGGGGGGGTTAGTGGGGGTTATAACCCCTCCCATGGACTCACACCCCTATATATATATATATATATATATATATATATATATATATATATATATATATATATGATTTTATACATATGGAAAAAATATTTGAACCCCTCCCATGAACGATTCCAGGCTACGCCACTGTATCAATACAAAATTCCAACAAAGTAATTTATGAGACAATTGCTTAATTAATTAATTAACACAACAATGCCACAACTGGGCATCATGCCCTAACTGGGCAGATGGCCACAAAACCCAGCATGACGTGAAACTGTTTCCAGCTCAGTAGAGTCCCATTACTAGGCGATAGAGTAAAAAAACGAAAGTAAGCTAGTTGAGAGCTTAACACCACAAAGTATCCGTATCAAATAAAGTAAAAAACTAAAGTAAGCCAATTAAAAGCTTAACACCACAGAGTATCCGTATCAAATAAAGGAAAAGTAAAATAAGTAAAATACACACAGAAAAAAACATGACATCAAACTGGTCTCAAGTTTAGCTCAATACAACAGAATATCGGAATAAGCCAAATAAAAAATACACAACACGAAACGGAATCTTTCCTATCGTAATAAATCCCATGACTGTCCAACATACAACACAAACTACATGCTGTCGTCTGTCATCCAACAAAACAATATTTACCGGTGATGTCGGTCGTGTGTGATGTGGTATGTCGCCGTGTCCCACATTTATACCAGCAGACGAGGTATGATGGGGGGATGGGGTGGGGAGGGGGGAAGGGAATCCCCTCAAAAGATGGGAGAGCGGGCAAATCCCGAGTGTAAGTTTAGCCAAGTTTTTTGTCACGGATGTTTTTGTCGTGTCAAGTAGGTCCAGGATGTGGGTGAGTCGTGCTGCTTCATTAGCCGGAAATGTCCGGCCTTTTTTTTAATGGGGCAGATATACAGGTTATAGAAGTGTTTACAGTGCGTGTGTGTGTCGCGTGTATGCGCGAGTGTGTGTGTATGGTGTAGTATGTGTGTACGTGACTGTGTGTGTGCGTGTGTGTGTGTGCGTGTGTCTATGTGAATGTGTGTGTGCGTGTGTGCGTGTGTGTATGTGTGTATGTGTGTGTTTGTTTGCAGGTATTTGTGTGTGTGTGTTGTGTATGTGACTGTGTGTGTATGTTACTGTGTGCGTGTGTGTGTGTGACTGTGTGTTATGACACTTAAACACTTCGATACTTTATACCTACGAAACCATAGCAACAGCCTGCCGCCGTTACTCCCAAATCTAAACGATTCATCAAAACTTACCAAACAAGTACAATATTTTGAACACCCCGTCATTACAAAACTATGTACATCAGGACAGATTTCTAATTCAAAGTAAGAGAAAACGAAACTTACAAGCCCTACAGACATTAGATAACCGTTTAAAATGTTTGAAATTTAAATTTAAAAAAACTTATTTAATCGTTTTCTACATCAATTATGTGGCACCCAAATAAAAAGGCAAAGTGACTGGTAAAAAGCGCCCCGACCTTTCCAACTTAGGGAGGTGGGGTTGCATTTTCACCATCGCGAATAAATATAGGCCTATATAGACCTTATTTTGGGGCGGGGACGCAAAATTGATAGTTCGTCCTGGGTGCCGAAATAGATCGCTACTCCTTTATAAAAGTTATTAATTATTAGGTACTTTTCGATAGACCTTTTGCGCCCCCACTAGGGATGGCGCCCTAGGCGACCGCCTAGTTCGCCTTATTGGTTGCGCCGGCCCTGGGGGGGGGGGGGTGTAGTCAAAGAAAGTCTACACCCTTTTTGTAATGCTTTTTTGACGATTTTACCCCCCCCCTCCCCTCCGTCACACATTGTCACAAAAAGCCAGACCCGCCTCCCTAAAATGACGTCACACCTCAGCCTACAACCCCCCTCAAAATTGCAGTTTTCTTTAAAACAGATATTTTTCCAAAATATTGTCTGAACACTTTCAAAATAGAGTATTTTAATTAATTCCTATTGCAATTTATTTAAACAGTTTTCTATAACGCGAAAAAAGTCTAAAATTCATTTTCTAATATTGCTTTTTAATAATGCAAAAGTGTTAAGTCTGACCACCCCTCTTCCCCTCATCACACACCGTCACAAAATTACAGACCCTCCCTCCCCCCTTTGAGTGTGACGTCATTTATGGACGACCCCTAATGACTGTATGGGATTTTTTGAGCTTCGGCTTAAGCTCCCTACACATCTATCAATACAACGTTGGAGCTAAGTGGACCTTAAGACACTCTAAGCTCACATATTATTGCTCGAGCTCTCGTACAACCGATCATGTAGTTTACAACACTCAGCATGTTTCAGCCGGTTTAAAGACGTGACGTCACTTCCCTTAAGAGGGGTAACTCTCGCTGACCAACCCGAGAAATCAACAAGTTGTTTACACAAGAGGACGATGTGGGGGAGTGGCTAAAGTTACAAGCGGTTCATTGAGATGTGAATGTACTCACATTTTGATCACTTACAAGCGGTTCATTGAGATGTGAATGTACTCACATTTTGATCACTTACAAGCGATTCATTGAGATGTGAATGTACTCACATTTTGATCACTTCAGCGATAAGTCGAAATGTTGACATTCGTTGACTTCAGTATTTCTTCCCGACTTTTTTCTCCGGTAAGGGGGGGGGGGGGGGCACTTAATATTTTCGGGGGGGGGGTCTACATTTACCGGGGAGGGGGGCGGATAAAAGTATATGTTTACTATACGAATTCTATCTCGTTCGTTAGTTTAACTAACACACTCCCAATATTGTACCACTAGTTTAACTAATACACCCTACTATAACCTTAACGTATCCTCAAACCCTTACCATCAAGATAACTGATCCCTTGTTTGATGGGATACAATCTAACTAGCACGGAGATGTGACTAATTGGACTAATTAGACGTACTCTGTTGATCTATTCCATGTGACGACGGAAGATTGATGAGTAAATGTCCAGCTACAATATTTAATTGGTATCACGTGATCTACCCACCCCCCCCTCCCCACCTCTCCCTTTTTACACCTACATCTGGATTAACCTGACATTAATCCCGTGGATATAATCCCAGCAGGTTGACCTAAATACGTCACCCATATCCTGTCTACCTGCTACAGGTTGGCATATAGAGGGAGATTGTTGAAACTTTCTTCATTGGTTGTTGTCGTGTGGTTGTCGTGTGGTTGTCCTGTGGTTGTCGTGTGGTTGTCCTGTGGTTATCGTGTGCTTGTCGTGTGGTTGTCCTGTGGTTATCGTGTGCTTGTCGTGTGGTTGTCCTGTGGTTATCGTGTGGTTGTCGTGTTGTTGTCGTGTGGTTGTCGTGTGGTTGTCGTTTGGTTGACGTGTGGTTGTCGTGTGGTTGTCGTGTGGTTGTCGTGTGGTTATCGTGTGTTGTCGTGCTAATATCGCCCACATAATAGGTCCAGTGTTGGGGTTCTAGAGAACTGGGGATACAAAAATGTTAATCTGACGTCTGTGGTTATAAAGAATACTAAATTTGTTGCCTTTTTCGTAATGTAGCAGTACACATCAAAGTAAACAATAGACAGACAACTCTACAGTGTAAGCATACGACAGCTGCTGGTTCAAGTCTGCTGGTTGTCAAACATCAGAGCTTCTGTACATATATCTAGTCGGACCGTACAAAAAAACACTTTAACACTCATACAGTAGCACACTCTAACACCCCTACAAAAATACTCTTTAACACCCCTACAAATGTACACTCTAACACCCCTACAAAAAGCACTCTAACACCCCTACAAAAAGCACTCTAACACCCCTGTATACACATATTGTGTACAAACAACACCACCAACCCACATAGCCGTTTTTTTTATACTCGACTCGACAATTTACCAACCACTAGAACTAGATGTAAATGATTGTGTTTTTTGTTCCCGTGCAACCTGTAGTCAACCCTAGTGTAGTCAACCCATAAACAACCCATCCACAACCTGTAGACAACCCATCAACAACCTGTAGACAACCTGTAGACAACCCATCAACAACCTGTAGACAACCCATCAACAACCTGTA